CCTTCGTCGGTTCGCTCTACGAGGACCCGGCGTCGCGGAAAGCGCCGGCGGCGCGCGAGAAGTCGCGCGAGCCCAAGCCGAAGAAGGACAAGGCCGCGAAGAAGAAGAAGGACGCGAAGGTATCGTCGGCTAAGTAGCGCCATTTCGACGTCGGGGCGTGGGGTTTCCCCGACGAAGACGACTTGGTCTTTCCCGACGAGACGGAATCGGACTCGGCAACCCCCCGCGCCCACAGCCGCCTCGCCGCGATCGCCCTGCTCCTCGGCCGTCTCGGCCGAGCTACCGCCTGTAACCTGTATGTTGAAGAGGCGATGAAGAGGCCTTACCCTTTCATTGATGCATACGAGCGATGTTGCTCGAAGCCATCGTCTGAGCCTGCTCGAAGCCGCCATCTAAGGACAGCGAAACTCGCCATGAATCGCGAGAACCTGCACCACGACGATGCGGCGCAGATGGGTTCGCTGCTCGACGAGCTCATGAGCTCGTCGTCCACCGCGCCGGCGGCGCCGGCGCGAAAGCCCAAAAAAGGCAAGGTCTCCCAGTTCCGCAAGGAGCAGCGCGAGAATCCGCCGCCGCCGGCGAAGGCGGCGCAGCCGGCGCCGCGCGAGAAGAAGAAGAAGCGCAAGGGCCCGCGCGACGACAACCCGAACCGCGCCGCGCTCCGCTGCGCCGACGTCCCCGCGCCGGCCGCGCCGGCCGCGCCGGACCCGGGCCTCGAGTCGCTCCTCGACCAGATGGCCGCCGGCGCGCCGCCGGCGACGAAGAAGCGCAAGAAGCAGCGGCCGCCGTCGGCCGCCGCCGCCGCGCGCGCGGCCGCGGCCGCGTTCGTCGCGTGCCGCGCGGCGGCGCTGCGCGGCGACGGCGCCGGCGCCGCCGCGCTCGCGAGGGCGCTCGCGGACCGGTGCACGGCGCTCCTCGAGGCCGCGCCGTCCGAGGAGGCCGCGGAGTGCCGGGGCCTCGCCGGCGACGCCGCGCGCGTCGCGGCGGGCCGCGCCGCGGCGCTCGCCGCGCGCGACGTCTCCGCGGCCGTCGCCGTCTTCGCGGCGTTCGACGCCGTCTACTTCAAGCTCCGCTACGTCGCCGTGGTCCGCGGCTTCGGCGACGCCGTGCCCCGGCCCCACGACGTCTTCGACGCGCTCCTCGTCGCGCCGTCGAAGGCGCTGGCCGCGGACGCGCCGCGAGAGGCCGTCGCCGCCGCCGCGGCGCGCGCGCTCGACGCCGTCGAGGCCGCCGGCGGCGGGGCGCTCGTCGAGGCCTGGGCGCTCCGCGCCGGCGGCGGCAACGCGCTCCTGCGGCTCTTCCGCGCGCGCTGGCGCGAGGTCGCGTGGCTCTCGCGCGACTGGACGGTCCCCGAGGCGCCGCTCGTCCCGTCCGCGGAGACCGCGGCGACCATGAAGGGCGCGGACCCCGTCGCCCCGGCGTGGCTCCACGCCGCGCGCCGGGCCGCGAGCGCGTCGTGCCACGAGTACGCCTACGCGGTCCCGAGCGACGGGGCGCTCGACGCGCTCGCCGCGGTCGGGCCCCTCGTCGAGATCGGCGCGGGCACGGGCTACTGGGCGTCGTGCCTGCGCGAGCGGGGCGTCGCCGTCGAGGCCTTCGACGTCGCGCCGCCGGGCGACGGCGCGAACGCGTACCACGGCCGCTCCAAGGCCTGGACGGCCGTCAAGCGGGGCGGCGTCGCCGAGGCCGTCGCGGCGGCGACGCGAGGCGCCCGGAGGGCGACGCTCTTCGCGTGCTACCCGCCGCCGGGCGAGCGCGAGGCCTACCTCGGCGCCGCCGCGGCGGCCTTCCACGACGGCGGCGGCGAGACGCTCGCGCTCGTCGGCGAGTGGCGCGGCGACACGGCGACGGCCGGCGACCTCCTCGCGCTCCGGGCGCGCTTCGCGCTCGCGGCGCGCGTCGCGCTGCCGAACTACGGCGACGGGTCTGCGGAGCTGACGATCTGGACGCGGCGCGGCGGCGCGGCGGCGCCGTCCGTCGCGCCGCCCGACGCCTGCGACGCCTGCGGCGCGCGCGGGCCCGTGCGGCGCTGCCGCCTCACGTGCGACGTCGCCTACTGCTCCGCCGCCTGCGCGACGGCGGCCGGGGCGAAGCGCGGCCACCTCCTCGCGCTCAAGTGCGCGCCCGCGTCGTCGCCCGCGGACTTTGGCGACCCGCTCCACTTCGCGGACCTCGGGCCCCTCGCCGCGGCGGCGTCCAAGAAGCGGCGCGCGAAGAAGAAGCGGCGGTGACCTCTCGTTTGGATGACGCGGCGACGCGCGCCGCGGGCACGTAAGGGGCTTAGCGAGCCTCTCTTACTCAGGCCTCANGAGGAGCGCGAGGAGCGCGAGCGTCGCGCCGACGCANGCGACGAAGATGAGCGGGGTCGCCTCGCCCTCGTCCGCGGCCGCTCCCGCGTCGCGGCCGCCGCCCGGCGCGGGCGCGGCCCCGTCGTCGTCGCCGTCGCCGTCGCCGCCCGGCGCGTCGCCCGCCTCGGCCGCGGCCTTTCGCCGCTCCTCGTGGAGCTGACGAGGTCCGGAAAGAGGCCGCGGAACGTCTCGTTCGCGCAGTTGAACTCGAGGCTCTGCGCCGCGAAGCGGCGCCGCTGCGCCGGCGTCGCCTCGACGGAGCCGAGCGTCGGCGAGCTCTCGAGCATGAAGCTGTAGAGCCCCGTCAAAATCGTCGACACGGACCACATGGGGTTCCAGGACTCGGGGTGGAAGTCGGACATGCTCAGGCAGAGCCGGCAGTTCGTCTTGAACCGCCCGCTCGGCGTGCACATGAGCACGCTCGGCGGCCGCAGCGGGTACTCCGTCGGGAACTTGAGCTTGCCGTGGTAGTGGCCCCCCTCGTAGACCGAGTCCTTCGTCCCCGTGATGACGTAGTGCCACTCGAGCACGTTGCTCTCGAGCGGCCGCGCGACGATGTTGTCCGGCGGCGCCTTGCGCATGGCCGCGAACTCGCGCAGCAGCCGCCGCGTCGCCAGGTCCGACGCCATCGGGCGGGCGGGCGCGGCCTCGGCGACGGGGCGAACTCGCGCGCGGCGTGCGGTGGCGGTGGTGGTGGCGCTCGGCGAACGCGCGGCGCTGTGTGTGGTTGGGCGGCGGCGGTGGTGACCCCACGCAGCGAACTCGGCGTGCAGTGTGTGTGTCTGGACTTGCCCGGGCTGAGCCAGACGCTGGCTGCGGCGAGCAAGCCGATCGCGCAAACCGATCACCTTCAAGGTGCCGCTCGATATTCGAGACGCACCTCCTCACGCTGTGAGGGGCTGCCGATCGGCGCCGCGGTGCTGCTCCGGCGGCCATGGTCCGGAGGCGAGAGGGCGCGCGGGCGGCGCTCCGCGTCGTCGCCGGCGCCGTGGGCCTCGCCGCGCTCGCCGCCGTCGGCGTGGTGTCGCGGAGCGGGGATGGCGGCGCCCTGCTCTCGCTGCGCGCCATGCTGCCCAAGAACCCGAACCCGAGCGGCACCTTCGGGTTCGCGAACCTGACGCAGCCCGCGGCGCTGCCCGGGTCCATGGGCGGCGCGGGCTCCGCCGTCGACGACGACGACGACGACCCCGACGGCGGCGGGAAGAACGGGCTCACGACGCCGACCGCCGTCGCGCACGTGTCGCTCTTCAAGCGCACGCACGTGTCCACGGACGCGTCGGCGACGCTGGACTTCGTGCAGACCATGCTGGGCTTCAGCCTCGACCTGAACGCGAGCTACCACTGCCTGCCGTCGAGCCCCGGGAGCTTCGACCGCACGCGCACGCGCGAGCTGTGCGCGAAGCGGACGCTCTTCATGACTTTGGGGAGCTTCTCCATGCACTACTTCGAGTCGCACGTGACCCAGGACGCGCCGCGCATCGGCGTGCGCGAGTGGGTCCAGAGCTGGGAGAGCTCCCTCGACTTCAGTGACGACGGATGGGACTGGAACGAGTTCACGTCGCAGTCCGTGAGCTTCTACGTCGCGCGGGACCTCGAGGACTTCATCATCCTCTGGAAGAAGAACGGCGTGCCCTTTTTAGGGCGCATGTACTACGAGGGGTCGTCGAACGTGCCCGTCTACTCGGTCCGCATCGCGGTGCCCGGCGTCGGCCACGTCGTCGAGATCGTCTCCGACAACGTCACGGCCGCGTACGCGGCCGAGTACTTCACGGCCTATGATGTAGTGGCGGAGTGCCCCGGCGGCCACGCGCTGAACAAGACCATGGACGAGCTCCGGGGCCAGTGGGAGATCTTCGACGCCGCGAAGCCGCCCGGCCCGGGCATGCTGCCCGTGCTCCTCGTCGCGCAGATCTCGCAGCCCGTGTCCGACGCGGACAAGATCCGCGACTTCCACAACCTCCTGCTCGACACGCTGGACACGGTCGACATCGCCGATATTCTGGTCGCGGACTACGCGGAGCCCATCCTCCGGAAAGAGGACGACGACGACGCGGGCCTCGTCCCCGCGCAGTGCTCCTACAGCGACACGCACATCTCCCTCAACGACGACTACCTCGTGCCCATCCGCTTCATCCACAACCCGGGCGCGAACCAGCGCGAGCACCGCACGGTCAAGGACTTCGAGGACGAGTACCTGAGCATGGACGGCATCGCGGGCTGCGACGCCGCCTACGGCCGCTACATGGACTGGCACGTGGGCGTCATGCCCTCGGAGAGCTACCTGGACCAGATCGCCCGGCGCCTCTGCCGCAAGGGCGTCGGCTTCAAGGCGGGGGGCCACGCGACGACGGACGACGACGCGAACCTCGCGGACACGATCGGCGCGGTCTGGTCGCGCGGCGCGTCCGGGCTGGGCATCGAGTTCGACAGCCTCTTCGACTGGACCTACTTCGACCCGGACACCATGCGCCACCTCGACTACTGCTCGAAGAACGGCACGATGAACATCGACGCCGTCGCCTCGCTCGACGCGGACGACGAGGACCAGATCTGGTGCCCGCGCGACTACAACACGGACTGCGACGACTGCGTGCCGGGCGGCAACATGGACGACCGCGACGACGACCCCGCCATCGCCTGGCAATAGGAACGGGCGTGTTTAACGAATCAGCAGCTTATTTCGGACGGCTCGGTTGAAGTTCAAGGTGCACAGGCGAGGAATTCTGTCAGCCGATGGCTTTGCTAGTTCGGCGTCGTGGAGCCAACCTCATGGCTCTGCTGGCGCTGCTCGTCCCCGCCGCGCTCGCCCTCGCGCCGGCCCCGAAGGCGCCGCAGAAGCTCGCGACGCCGCCGGCGCCGACGCCCCCGCCGACGCTCGCCTGCCGCCACTTCAAGGAGTGCTCCGGCTGCGTCGTGGAGGCGGCCTTCGAGGAGACGGACATGGTCCTGCGCGCCCGCGCGGTCCTCGAGCCGCTGCTCGGCGCGCCCCTGGCCGTGGTCTGCGGGACGCCGGCGGGCTGGCGGACGCAGGCGCGCCTCGCGGCGGGCGCCGGCGGCGAGCGCGACGCGAGCCGCGGGCGCCGGGGCCGGAAGCGGAACTGGCGCGCGACGGGCGTCGAGCTCGGCCTCTACCGCGCGGGGAGCCACGACGTCGTGGGCATCCCGGACTGCGTCGCCCACGCGAGCGTGCTCAACGACGCCGCGGCGGCCGTCGCGGCCGCGTGCGCGGACGCGGGCGTGCAGTCGGCGCGCGGCGACGACGGCGAGCTGCGCTACGTGCAGATGTCCGCGGAGCGGTCCTCGGGCCTCGTGGCCCTGACGCTCGTCTGGAACCGGCGGGGCGCCAAGGAGTCGGCGCCCCAGCTCCCGCGGCTCGTCGCCGCTTTAGAAAAATCGGAGACGAAGTGGCACTCGATCTGGGTCAACTACCGGGGCTCCAAGGGCGGCAACGCGATCTTCGACTACGAGCCGCGGACCTGGGCCAAGCTGCGGGGGCGGCCCCACCTCACGGAGGGCCTCTTCGACGGCGCGGCGCCGGACGTGCGCGCGCGCGCCGCCGCGGCCGGCGCGGACGCGGACCTCGCGCTGCGGTTCACGCCGCTCGTGTTCCGCCAGGCGAACCTGGCGGCCTTCGCGGCGCTCGTCGCGAGCCTGGCGGCCTTCGTGCCCGCGGGCGCGGACCTCTGCGAGCTCTACGGCGGCGTCGGCGCGATCGGCCTCGCGCTGCGACCGAAGTGCGCGCGCGTCCGGTGCTCGGAGGCGAACCCGAACGCGGCCGACGGCTTCGCGCGCGCGCTCGCGGACCAGGACCGGCGGCTGCCGCGGCTGAAGCGCGACGTGCCCGTGCGCTTCCGCGCGCTCGACGCCGCGGACGCGATCCGCGCGGACGCGGCCGGCGCGGACGTGCTCGTCGTCGACCCGCCGCGCAAGGGCCTCTGCCCGGAGGTGCTCGACGCGCTCCTGGACCCGGCGCCCGACGGTTTCGCGGCGTCCGTGGAGCGGCTACTCTACGTCTCCTGCGGCTTCGACGCGCTCCAGCGCGAGCTCGGGCTGCTCCTCAAGTCGCAGCTGTGGACGCTCGCGCACGCGGAGGCCCACGTCCTCTTCCCGGGCAGCGACCACGTCGAGACGCTCGCCGTCTTCGACCGCGCCCCGGCGTCGAAGCGGCGATAGAGGCTGCGTTACAAAATGGGCGCCTAGTGGAACTCGACGGCCAGGTCCGCCAATACGGGGTGGTGGTCGCTGAGGACGCAGGTCGCGACGGACGCGTAGCGGCCGCAGGCGACGACGTCCGAGGGCCGCTTCGCCTTCCAGAGGACGCGGTCGCACCACGCGGGCCGCCGGTTCGCCTTGTACTCCGCCGTGCCGCGGACGAGCTTGTAGGTCGGGGGGAACCGCTTCGGCGCCTCGCGGAAGCCGACGAAGGCGTCGCCCCGGGCGATGGCCGCGTCGAGCTGGTCCCGCGCCGCGAGGGCCGCCCAGTCGCCCGCGGCCAGGGCCTCGCGGACCGCGGCGTCGTCGCGCGCGTCGCCGTCCCGGGCCGCCTCGCGCGCCGCGGGCCCGAAGGACGCGAGGAACGCGCCGAGCCCCGCCTCCGGCGCCTTGGTCGAGGCGAGGCGGTAGTTGAGGTCGCCCTGCCAGACGACGACGTCGTGGGCGAGGACGTCGAGCGCGTCGTCGTCGCCGAGCGCCGCGGGCAGCGACAGGATCGACGCGTCCGCCGCGGCGCCGACGATGGCCGCGTACTCCGCGTTGCGCTGGTCGAGCATGTCGAGGTCGCTCGCGAGGTGCGCGTGGACGACGCAGAGCGTGCGCGCCTCGCCGTCGGCGCCGCGCGCGGCCGCGAGGCTCGCGGCGACGGCGCCCTTGTTGCCCAGCAAGCCGCCGAAGCCCGTGCGGAAGCGGCAGGTCCGCGCGGGCGCGATGTCGTAGGCGCTCACCCTCGCCGTGAAGACGAAGAGCGCGAGGCCGACGAGCGACTCCGTGCACGCGAGCTCGTGCGTCGCCTCGAGCACCGCGAGGAGCGCCGCGCGCCACGCCGCGAGCCGCGCGGCGACGAGCGCGGACGCCTCGGGCGAGACGAAGGACTCGCGGACGACGGTGCCGGGCTTGAGCTCGACGACCTCGACGAGGCCCACGGACGCGACGTCGCTCGCCGCCGCGCCCTCGCCGAGCCACTCGGCGACCGCGGACGCGAACGCCGCGCCGTCGAGCGACGCAGGGTCGAGGCCGCAGACGTTCCAGCACCGCGCCGCGACCCTCATGCCTGCGGGATATCGCGCGCCTTCAAGACCCGAATTCGCCGACGGGAGCGCGCGGCGGCGGGCTCTTAGAACGCGCGGTGTGATGTCGCAACACGTGTAACCGGAGCGGGGAGGCTTGGGCCGGTCCGGCTATTAGACTGGAGTTGCTTTTTTGTTGTTAGGACGCTGGCGCGGTGCCTGGAGCGGCAAGCGCTGTCGCTGCAGGGGTGGTCGCGCTAGGGCGCGGTGACGACGCCGTGGCCTCGGTGGCTGTGGATGCTGTGGAGAGCCCGTTCAACTTGTGTGCACCTTCGCGTCGGCCACCAAGTTTCCCCCAGGCGCTCAGGCTTCTTCGACGAAGGCGCCGTCGTCGGGAGCAGCCCCACGATGATCGAGGACGACTACGCGCTGTTACCCGCGGGCGCGCACGAGCCCGAGCCGAAGCGGTGCTGCGAGCTCCAGGATCCGACGCTCTTCCTCGCGAAGAACCTGTTTATTTGGGTGGCCACCTTCGCCTTCATCCCGCTCATCGCCGCGGACCAGGCGGGGCGCATCTCCTCGCTGATCTACGCGGTGCTCCTCGTCGCGCTGCACGTCGTGTTCATCGTCGTCTACTTCTGGCGCGTCCAGTTCCGATCGCTCGACCCGAACCGGCGGTCGCTCGCCGCGCGCGTCGTCGGCCTGCTCGCGTGCGTCTACCTGCTCTACGTGGTGGCGGGCCACCTGCCCGAGCGACTGGGCATGCTCGCGTTGATGCTGGTCGGCCTCTGCGTCATCCACAGCGTCATCCTCGCGCTGCTGTCCGTGCGGGTGCGCGCGACGACGAAGCCGCGCCCGCCCGTCGCCGCGGACCCCTAAGAAAAGACAGCTAGGACCGCGGGCAGGCGCAGCGGCCGTGGTGGCCCGCGGCGACGTCCGCGTCGGCGCAGGTCAGCGCCGACGCGAGGCACGCCGTGCCGTCGAGGCTCTCCGTCGCGTAGTCCCGGAGCTTGCGGAAGTCCTCGAGGAGCCGCTTCGCGGGCAGGTGCGCGTGCCAGGCGGCCATGCCCATGGGCCGCGCCTCGTGGCGGTGGGTCGACAGGCCCAGGGACCCGACGTGGACGGCGACCTCGCCCCGGACGGCGCCGAAATTCAGGCGCTTCGGTGCCTTGCCCGCGGCGACGGCCGCGGCGTCGTGCGCGCGCGCGGCCTCGACCTCGGACGCGAAGCCGCCGACGTCGACGAGGCGGCCCTTCTCCGCGATCTTCGCGCGGTAGGCCACGGTCCCGTCCGCGGCCGCGACCCGGAAGACGCCGCGGTAGGGCCCGACGCGCGCGGCCTCGGCGAATTTCGCGTCGCGCGTCCGCGCGAAATCCGTAGCGAAGCTCCGGAACTTGGACCTGCGTGGAAATCAAATCTTCAACCCGACTTCAATGTGATCGCATGCGGCCGTTTCGACGCGACTTCTTCTGCCGTGCTTCGAGAACTCGACGAGAGCAATCGATTCGTCCAAAAATCAGCCGAAGCGACGTCGATTTGACCGAGCGAGAGAATTCTCAAGTTTGGTCAGGACCACCCAAACCAGTGGTTGATTTCCACACAGACTTGGACGCGAAGATGGCCTCCAGCTTCAGGTCCGCGGGCAGGCCACCGAGGGGCTCGGGCACGCCGGGCACCGGCTCGCAGGCCGCGGCGGCGCGGAGCGCGCGCGACCAGTCGACGGCGTCGACGGCCGCGCGGCTCGCGAAGAAGCCCGCGCGGCTCGCGAAGACGGGCCGCTTCGCCGCGTGGGGGAAGATGGTGTGGCCGACGCGCACGCGCGTCGTCCGCGGGTCGCCGTAGCGCTCCAGGGACCGCGCCAGGTCCCGCAGCAGCCGCGGGTGCACGAGCGCGCGGTCGCCGGCGACGAAGTACCACTTCACGTCGGTGTGGCCGTCGCGCGCCTTCGCGCGCGCGAGGGCCAGGATGATGCGCAGCTGGTGCGCGTAGAAGTCGTCGTCGCGGCTCCGCCACCACGCCCCGTCGACGTCGCCCGCGCCGGCCGCGCAGCGCCGCGCGTCGGACGCGTTCGCGAGCGCGCCGCCGTCCTGGGAAAGGGTGATTCAACGTCGCTTCAACGTGAGTAGTCCGCGCGCGCGCGTTCCCAAAAAAGCATCCACGCGTCGAGAGCGCTCCGAGGGATGATCGCTCGTCCAAGAATCGGCCGAAACGAGCGGGAAACGGCCGAGAGAGGCGCCTCGAGCATGTCGCGCCCTTTTTCCCGCCCCGGAGACGACCTGGTAGTCCGTGAGCGACGCCCGGAAGTGGGCCAGCGAGCCCTTGCCGTCCGTCGTCCCGAAGGCGTCGCGCGACGCCAGGGGCCCCTCGTTGGCGAGGAGGGCCTTGCGGTAGAGCGCGTCGAGGTCCGCGGCCGCGACGCCCGACGCGACGAGCGTCCGGGCGCCGAAGCCGCTCTGCCAGCTCCGGAAGGCCGCGATGGCCGCCGTGGCCGCGCCCCAGTCGCCGAGGTCGCCGGCGACGACGACGGCGTGGATCTCGTCGTCGGTCTTCTTTTTCGGCGGCGGGGGCGGCGGCGGCGGCGCGTACGTGCTCTCGACGGCCTCGGGTTCGGGGTTCGAGAACGCGCCCGGCGGCGGCGGCCTGCCCGTGAGGTGGGAGACGACGAGGTCGAGCACGGGCCCCGTCAGCGTCTTCGCCGCCTCGACGTGGGCGAAGCGCAGCCCGACGACTTTAGCGAGCGTCGCGAAGCACGGGAACCACGCCTTGCCTGCGGGGAAATCAAATCTTCGACCCGACTTCAATGTGAGCGTATTTGACCGTTTTGACACGTTCTCTTCGGCTGTGCTTCAAGAACTCGACGAGAGCGATCGAATCGTCCAAAAATCAGCCGAATCGACGTCGATTTGGCCGAGCTAGAGAATTTCTGAAGTTTGGCCGGGACGTCCCGGCTCACTGGTTGATTTCCACACGGCGCCTTGCCGATCTCGACGACGAGCGTGCCCGGCGCGCAGAAGACGGCGTTGCTCAGGCCCGCGCCGTGGGCGCCGATGACGACGCGCGCCGACGCGAAGAGGCGCGCCTGCTGGGGCAGCGGCTCCCGCTCGAGCTCGACGACGCGGAAGTTGCCGAGCACGGACGGCTCGTCGCGCAGCGCGCGCTCCGCGTCGGCGAAGAAGCCCGCGTCGAGGTGGCGCCGGTCGTAGCCCGTGAGCCAGCCCTCGGCGTCGCCCGTCGGCTTGCCGCGCCGGACGATGAGCACGTCGATGGCGCGGTCGAAGGGCGCGGGGTAGCCCGCGACGTCGAGGACCTGGGCAGGAAAAGAGTGATTCAGGTTCGCTTCAACGTGAGTGTTCCGCGCGCGCGCGTTCCGGAAAAAACATCCACGCTTCGAGGCCGTTCCGAGGGATGATCGCTCGTCCTAAAATCAGCCGAAACGAGGGGGAAACGGCCGAGAGAGGAGCCTTTGAAGTCGGGAATGTCGCACTCTTTTCCCGCCCCGTCGAGGACCCGGCTCCGGAAGCGGTCGAAGCGGTAGCGCGGCTGGGCGCTCCAGGACTCGGCGTCGGGGCTCCCGATGCGGCGGCCGTCGAGCACCTCCGGCAGCGGGTCCTTGCCGTGGCCCTGCCAGAGCTCGACGGTGATCCGGTGCTGCGGCTCGAAGACCGCGGCGAGCTGCGCGCGCATCGACGCGGCCTCGTTGAGCTCGACGAGGAAGACGCGCTTGCCCCCGCTCAGCTTCTGGGGCGCCAGGATCGTGATGTCCTCGCACTCCTCGCCGTTGGCCTCGAAGGCCTCGAGCACGCGCGGCGCGAAGTCGATGAGGAAGTGGTAGTACTCGAAGAGGTGGCCGCCGCCGCTCAGCGTCTCGTCGTCCCAGACGTAGGTCGCCGGGCAGCTCACCGTGAAGTCGCGCAGCGGCGTGACGACCTGCTGCGCCGCCGCCGCTGCGGCGAGCAGGCCGGCGACCCGGCGGTCGTACATGCTGCCCAAAAGAGAGCGGCCAACCGATAAGCTGCAGTTTGTCATTGAATACCGGGCAGCTTCTGGAATCGCAACTCGTGCGCAATGTGGCGGGCTCTCAGCGCGCGCGTTGTGCTGGGGAGCGCGCGCGCCGCGCGCGCGGCGGGCAGCCCCGCAAGGACCAGCGCGCGCGTCGCGCTCGGTGGCGCCTGCGGCATGCTGGCCCTCGGCGGCGGCGCGGCGCTCTGCTCGGCGAACGTCGAGGCCGAGTCGGACCCGTTCCAATTCGAAGCGCTCGAGAAGGACCCGGTGGCGCTGATCAAGCGCTTCGAGGACTTTGAGCGATGCGCGGAGGCGCGGGCGACCGAGGCGGTCGTCGCGCGCGCGTTCGGCCCCCTGACGGGCAAGACGTGGCGCCTCGTCGAGAACGAGGGCGGCGAGGAGAAGATGCGGCTCGACGGCGAGAGCTGGGTGAAGCGCAAGGCGTACATGAAGCTGCCGCTGACGATCACCTACAAGCTCGAGGGCACGACGCTGCACAGCGACATCTGCGCGCTCAAGTTCCTCCACGTCGTCGAGGCCTGGCGCGTCGGCGGCGCCGTCAAGGAGATCGTCGCCAAGGGCCAGACCGTGCGGCAGCAGTACGGCGTCACGTCGGCGGGCGCGCGGCCCTTCATCCGCAAGTCCGAGATCTCCGCCGCGGAGGTGAAGTCCGAGTCCGTCGCGCAGTACCACCTCAGCGACGACGGCTGGGACCTGCGCCTCGTCACCTGGTGCGCCTACCCCGACGCCGCACCGCCGACGCTCGCCAAGTACACGATGCACATGCGCGCGGACGAGGCGCCGCCGCGGGCACCGACCGAAGCTTAAACGAACGATTCGGAAGCTTGAACGCCCTCCGAGTCCTAGTAGGCCTCCTCGGCCCCGCCGCGAGCACCGGCCGAAGCTTACACTCCCGACTAGGCCTCCTCCTCCTCGTCGTCGTCGTCGTCGTCCTCTTCCTCCTCGTCCCCGGAGATGTCGACGTTGTCGATGGCGCGCATCTTCTGGCGGTGCGCGTTCCGCGTGGCCGCGTCGAAGCCCGGCGCGCCGTGCGCCGCGCCGCGCTCGTAGGTCACGGTCGTCTTGCCGCTCCACTTGAGGTCGATGGGCGTCTCGCTGTCCTCGCGCGCGGCCTCCGTGGGCCGGCCCTTGTCGAGCTCCATGCGCTTGGGCTGCTGCTGGAGGTACGTCGCGACGCCCCGGTCGCGGTCGACGAAGAGCGCGAGGCGGTCGCCCGCGGCGCCGCCCTCCTCCTTGAAGTTGAGCTGGTACTGGCGCGTCCACGCGAAGGCCTCCGGGTCGTCCGGGTCCGGCGTCGAGTAGGACGCGCTGAGCACGTTGTGGCCCCGGCGCTTGTGCGACGTCGTGCAGACCTTGGACACCAACGCCGTCGTCCCGAGCGGCAGCGGCTTCCCGAACTCGTCCGTGCGGCCGCGCACCGCAAAGTCCGGGTCGTCGCGGACCGCCACCTGCACGTAGGAGTTGGCCCAGAGGTCCAGGTCCGGCGCCAGGGGCACGCAGAACTCGGCCTTGAGGTGCGGCTTCTTGTCGTGCTTCAAAGCCGCGAGGTCGCCGTCGAGCGCGGCCGCGGCCGCGAAGGACGCGTCGACGGCCTTGGCGCCCGTGCCGCCGACGTGCTCGATCTTCGCGTTCATGGTCTCCGCCGCGAGCTTCTGCTGCTCCTTGGCGCGCGACCCGAACTCGTGCACCGGCGCGTGCAAGTTATTCGAGAGGTAGACCGTGTTCTTCAGCCAGACGGCGGACTTGGCGTGCTTCTTGCCCCGGGCGAAGGCGTCGCCGCCCTTGTCGTCGGCGCCCATGAGGGGCTCCAGCGACTTGAGGATGGCCTCGTCCTCCGCGGGGAGCACGTTCGTCGGGTCGCCCGGCGGCGTGTCGCCCTTGATCAGGTCGATCTTCACGCCCACGTCGGGCTCGCAGTGGAGCCCCCAGTGCTTGATGTCGTCGAGGGAGCAGCGCTCGTGCTTGCAGCACTCGAGGAGCATGTCCCTGAGCGGCAGCGGCAGCAGGCACGGGCCCATCATCGGCGTCGGCGGCGACAGCTGCGGCTTCAGCTCGACGTGCCAGCCCGGGGGGCCGGGCACGATGAGCTTGCGCGGCTCCGTCGTCTTCCGCGGGTCGTAGGGCGCCTCCTTGGGCTTCTTCTCCTTGCGCTTCTCCTCGCGCGGCCGCTTGCTCGCCTTGTCGCCGCCGTCGCTCGATCGCCGGCGCTTCTTGTCGTCGGCGCCCGCGGGCGCGGCGCCGCCGCCGTTCGCCGCGGGCGCATCGCCGCCGTTCGCCGCGGCCGCGTCGCCGCCGTTCGTCGCGGCCGCGTCGCCGAGCGCGGGCGCCGCCGCCGGCGAGTCGGACATCGTCCGAGCCGGCTCGAGCGGTCCACTCGCCTCTGGCGCGCCGCGGCGGCGCTCGACGCCGTCAGGATATCGATCCGTCAAACGCCGAGGCCTACGCCACTGGATGATCCGCCTGCCGGGCTACTTGTCCGCCTCGTCCGGAGCTACGTTACCACGCCGCCCAGGTAGAGCTCGAGGTACGCGCGGCGCTCGTCGGCCACGGACAGCAGGTCGCCCGGCTCGCGCGCGACGGCGTAGGGCAGGACCGCGTCCGTGAAGATCGTCGCGAGGTGGCGCCGGCCGTCGCGCTCGAGCGCCCAGCCGACGGCCGCGGCCGCCTCCGCGCGGCGCCGCGCGCCGCGGGGGTAGAGGAAGTGCGAGTCCGGGCGCCAGGGGCGGCGCGCCATCGGCACCCACGTCGCGTCGTCCCCCCGCTCGTCTCCGGCCCAGAGCGCCCTGCCGAAGGCCCCGAGGGGCTCGACGTCGGGGTCCGCGCCCGCCCGCAGCAGCGTCGGGTGCCACGCCGCCGGGATGTCGTTCGCGAAACACAGGAGGGGCAGCCCCGCCGCCGCGCCCGCGAAGACGTCGACCTCCCGGAGCCACTCCGCCAGCCCCGGCGCGCCGCGCGCGTGGGCCTCGTCGACGAGGTCGACCGCGACCTCCGCGCGCGCGGCGCCGTCGACGACGGGCACGTCGTCCGGGGACCCGACCTCGGGCGCGTCGGCGTAGACGGGCCGCGCGCCGCAGACGACGAGGAAGACGGCCGCGTCGACCCGCGAGTTCTGCACCGCCTTGGCGAGGGGCGTGCGCGCCTCGGGGTCCCGGCGCTCGAGCGCGCCCGCGTCCGCCGCGAGAATCCGCGCGACGCACTCGACGTCGCCGGAGCAGGCCGCCGCGTGCAGCGGGCCGTGGTCGCCGCGCGCCGCGGGCGCCGTGCCGCCGTGGGCCAGAATTTCCGCCACGCAGGCGCCGTAGCCGCCCGCCGCGGCGACGTAGAGCGGCGACGCGTAGGGCGGCCGCATGCGCGCGTCGACGTCGCTCACGGGCAGCAGCGCGCGCACGCAGCTCTCGCAGCCCGCGTAGCAGGCGACGTGGAGCGCCGTCGCGCCGTCCTCGACGGCCGCGCGCCGCGCGCACGCGAGGAGCGCGGCGCGGCCCCCGGGCGCCGCGGCCGCGGCGGCGACGACCGCGCGGAGGCACGCGGCGTGCTTCGCCTCGGCCGCCGCGTGGAGGCACGTGTGGCCGCTGGCCCGGGTCCAGGCGAGCTGGTCCGCGGGGCCCTCCTCGACGAGCACGCGGGCCAGCTTCGCGCAGCCCTTGCCGCAGCACTCGTAGAGCGCCGCGTCCGCGGACCCGGCGCCGTCGCCCGCGGGCCGCCGCGCGAGCGGGTCCGCGCCGCCGCGCAGGAGGAGCCGCGCCACACTCGCCGCGCGGGCCTCGTCGCCGTGGAGCACCTCCATGGCGATCATGAGCGCCGTGTGGCCTACCAAGCATGACAGTAACGATTCTTAATCGTTTTCCCAGCCGAAATCTCTCGAAAATCGTCACGGCCACAGGACGCTGCGTGTGGCCCCGGCCCGTGAACGCGCGCACGTCCTCGGGGTAGAACTCCACCAGCGCGGCGACGCAGTCGACGGCGCCGCTCTGGCACGCGACCATGAGCGGCGTGTGGCCCGAGGGCATGCGCAGCGCCGGACAGCCGCGGTCCAGGAGCTCCGCCAAGCAGTGGAACCGCCCGAAGTTGGCCGCGATGTGCGTCGCGTAGGCGCCCTCGTCCGTCGTCGCCGCGAAGCCGCGCTCGTCCTCGGGCTCCAAATCCTGCAGCGCCGCGCGGAGCTGCGCCGGCTCGTCGTCCAGCGTGAGCTGGAGCACGCGCTGGGAGAGCTCGGAGACATCCACCATGCTCAATTGAGAATATGTTCATAGGCAACTTTCCTGCACGTTGTCGTTGTAATTCCAGCCGCGGCGGATGGGGGCAGCCCATAATGGAGTGAGCGCGGGCATGCACAAGCCGAGCTAGCCGCAGATTATGCCAGCGGCGTCGTCAATCCTGGCACCTGCAAGCCTGCACCGCACTCTGTTGTCAGCCACCGTACGTATTTCCAATGCGTCATGCGGCAGCATTTAGCGTCGCAACGCTGCTGCTGTGCGTCGGCGCCGGCGCGCCCGATGCCGGAAGCATCGTCCTCCTCGGCGGCGGTGCCAGAACATTTCTCTGCTGCTTCGACGAGCTCGTCGAGAAGCTCGCGAAGCCCATGGAAGCCGACCTCTTCGCCTACTTTAAGACGACGGAGGGAAAACACCAGACGTGGCACCACAACGAGTCGAAGCTACTTGCGAAGCTCGAGACGTACGCGCGGTTCCGAGGCGCGGTGCTCGTGCCGCGCCTCGACTGCGAGGGCGACTGCCTCGTGGCGCAGGTCGGCTGCCGCAAGCGCTTCGCGCGGCACCTCGGCAACGACACGACACTCGGCCGCGCCATCGGCCAGCACGCGCTGCTCGAACGCCTCGGCCAGGAGCTTCGGACGCTCGAGGCGAGGCGCGGCGCGCGCTACGAATGGGTCGCGTGGGTGCGCCCGGACGTCGTCGTGCAGGCCCGCTACCCGGCGCTCGCCGACGTCGCGTCGAGCCTGGCCGCGCTTCCCAGCTGCGGCGGCGACGTCGACATGGCTCGCGTCCTCCCGCGCGACGAGGCCGAGAGCCTGCTCTTCGGCGGCATGGCGGCCGCGCGGAGCGCGTGCGGCATCTTCGCCACGCGCGCGTGCAATCGCACGAACCACCGGACGGCGGCCTGCAACCCCTTCGCGTTCGAGGCCGAGGACTTCGTGCGACGGGCCGTCCCGCACAACCGCGGCTGCGTCCGCGCGAGGCCGCTGCGCCCGGCCTCGTGTCCGTTGCTAAAGAGTTGAAGAGGAGGGGGGAAGCACCACTGAGATTGCCCATCCGTTGCGGTTTATTTCGTTGCGGCTCGCTGTATGTGTTTGGTTCCGCTCATCGGCTCGCTGTATGTATTTGGTTCCGCTGATTTCGGGCCGAGAAGCGCCGAGACGGCATGGACGCATTAAATTTAGTCGAGCGCGCCTACCACCGCGCGCGCGCCCCCGCGTGCAAGATCGCTGGGACTGCGCATAGCGCGCACATGGGGGCTGCCATCGGCGAAGGAGCGGCATCGTCTAGATTGCGATTCGCTGAGAACGCGAGCGGTTTCGGAGGACCGATTTGACCGACGCGACGCCCCTCCCCCGGCCCGTGAGCGGCCCGGGCAGCCCCGCGCAGCAGCAGGGATCGTCCGCCATCGACCCGCGAGCGCCCTGCCACAAGGGCTGGCCCAGAGGAGCCGAGGAAGTCGATCTGACATGTTCGGGCTGAAACCGCGTCGCGCGCGGCCGCGCGGCCGCGCGCGCGTGTCGCACGTCCTTCGAGCCAAACCAGCAACTGAGCAGCCCGAGGGCACCAGACGTGTACCCCGAGCCTCCGCGCCAGCCAGCACGCTGCCCGAAGCCCAAAAAGTGCTGCTCTGGCGGTCAGAGAGCATGTCGAAAAGTAGCGAGTTCGCGTGCACATAAAAATCGACCGCCGACGCGGCCATGGTCACGGCGCACACTCCTGGAGAGAGGGCGCGCCCGGCATTCAGACGCATGTTCCCGTGACCATGGCCCCGTCGAACGCCGCGCGGCAGCCAAATGCAAAGAGAGGCTCTCCATGCTTCTCCCCTCATGAGTTGAAGGTCTCGTAGTTGAAGGAAGTACAGGACAATCCAGGGTAAACACCGGTCTTTTTTGGCGAAATTTGACGGCTGGAGGGGTCCAAACGAGTACCACGAGCGTAGAGATGGCCGCGAGAGCTCTCGATTTCGGCCCTATTCTGCGAGAAATCCGACTGCAAGAACGTGTTCGGGCGCGCGGGAAGTTTGAAATGTCCGAGATGAATCCGAAGTCGGGTGAAGACCTCGCAGAATAGGGCCCGGATTTGTCCAGCGCCCCGCGTTGCTAAAGTCCACTACAGGGAGTTTTCCCGGCCGACGTCGACGCGCTTCGCCAAAATTCGCTGAAGTTCAGCGTTTTTGATGAAATCTGCACTGCAAAACACCCCCCGCGGCACCTCACGAGAAGTCTCAAGGACCGTCCAGCGGTACGTCACGGCGAGCAATCTCGACGCCAGCGCCGCGCGCCGCCGCGCCCCCGGATGCGCCCGAAAGCCCATCACACCGCGCACCTCTGGACCGAGTTATCCGTGCGGAGGCCGCCGTCGCGCGACGAACGAGCGGTCGCTAGAGATGGCTCGTGAGACGCTCTCGCGAACGAAACCCGCCCGTTCGCACGCGCAGCGCTGCCGCCGGGCGCCTGCGCTGGACCGAGGCCGCGCATGTATACCGCGAGGCCGTGCGAGGCACCGGTGCTCGTCGGAGGCGCCGGATGGCCGCGCGGTCACGGCTCGAGCGCCGTCGCGCGGCGCGCCGGTTTCGGCGCCGGAGGCCCGAGCGGGCCCGCAGGGCGTCGGGCCGCCGCGGCGACGGCCCAGTGACCGGATACTATGATATGGCCGGCCTGTCGGCGACGCTCCGCGGCGCCGGGGCGCCGTGGTCGGCCGCGGCCGCGCGCCGACGCCTTCGGCCGCGAGCGCCTGCGGGAGCCGTCGGCGGCCAGCGCGTCGACGTCCGGCCCTCGCTGAGAGCACTTGCGGTCCGCGCACTCGATGTCGATGCTGACCGCTGCTCTGGACCGCCGAACGATCCTCGAGCCTGCAAAGGGTCGCCATACGGGGGTGAAACATGCCCATATAGTGACTTAAGCAGATTGTACTTGACGTCTCGATATGTCACTCCACGGCTGAAACCGCACCAAACTACGCCGTTTCGAGTTTCACGGACACGGACGGGACCAGACAGAGCCACCCACGTAACTTTCCCGCCGCCCCACGGCTAGCTGGCGTCGGTGCGTCGCGCACGTTGAGGTTGGTGTTTACCCTGGATTGTCCTGTAGTGAAGGTCTCGTTGATTTTGCTGAACACGATGGTGCTTCCGGTGGCGCTATAGAGCGCTGCTCTTCGCTGCCGATGGGTGGTGGCGCGTCGTCGTCCGCGGCGGCGGAAGAAGAAGCGCCTCCGGAGCCGTCGCCGCTCGTGGCGCTCCTCGAGGAGCACGGCCGCCAGTGGCGCGGCCCCGAGGCCGGCATCTTCTTCGAGCGCGATCCCGCGCCGGCGGTCATCGCCTTCTGCGAAGCGCAGGGCGTCGCCTTCGAGGACCCCGATTTCAATCCGAACGGCTCGTTCCCGGACGCCGTCGCGGAGGCGTCGAGCCCGCTCGCGCGGCGGTCCGCGAGCGCCGACGCGTACTGCTCCGTCTTCTGGCCGGGCCCGTCCTTCGTCGACGGCGGCGCGTGGAGGCGCTTCCGCGACGTCGCCGAGGGGTGTGAGCCCAAGGTCTACGACCGGCTCTCCATCACCGACGTGGACCAGGGCGGCCTGAGCAACTGCTGGCTCTGCGCGACCGTCTGCGCGGCGATCCAGGCCGCGCCCGACGTCGTCGCGTCCATGGTGTCGCCGGCCGAGCCCAACGACCAGGGCTGCTACTCCGTGCGCCTCTTCGTCGAGGGCCGGCCGCTCTACGTGCCCGTCGACGACCGCGTCTTCTGCGCGAACGGCGCGCTCTTCGACATGCACTCGCGGCAGGCGCACGAGATGTACGTGCCGCTCATCGCCAAGGCCTTGGCCAAGTGGCTCACGTGGTACGACCTGAACGGCGACGACCGCGACCGGCTCGGACAGCACGCGCGGACCGTCGACGAGGGCTGCCACCTCTACTGCCTCAAGGCGCTCACGGGGTCCGACTCCCACGGCGGCCTCGCGAAGCACGTGCTCCAGTGGACGGGCGACGACCCCTGGGCCGTCTCGCGCGACGCGGCGCCGGACCTGTTGCGGGCCGTCTTCGGCCGGGGCTGCGCGTGCACCTGCGGCGGCGCCGGCGAGGGCGGCGCGAGCGGCGGCGTCCGCTCCTTCTTCAAGGGCTCCGGCAGCGGCCTCGTGGATTCCCACGCCTACACCGTGATCTGGCACGGCGACACCGCAGGCGTCGAGCTCGTCCAGCTGCGGAACCCCTGGGGCAGCGACGGCGAGTGGACGGGCGACTGGTCCGACGGTTCGCCGCTCTGGAGCGAGCGGCCGGAGGTCAAGGCGGCGCTCGACGCGATCCGCGCCGACGAGTCCCTCGCGCGCCGGCCCTTCGACGACGGCCGGGAGAACGACGGCATCTTCTTCATGGCCTTTAGCGATTTCGTCAAAGAATTCCAGCACGTCGAGCACGTCGACCCGCCGTTCGGCGGCGTCGCGCAGGCCGCGCGCGCACAGTTCCTGCTCGACCAGGCGGGGAAGCCCTCGGCGCAATGGCGCATCCGGCCCCCGGTCGAGTCCGTGAGCCGCTGGGACGTGTCGGGCCTGCGATTCTTCGACGCCGCGGGCGCCGAGATCGCGCCGGCGGGCGCCGTCGAATCCGGCTCCGCGGCGGACGCCAAGTACGACAACAACCCGGGCTGGGACGCGCACAGCATGCTCTTCTCCGGCGAGGAGGGCGCGTGCTGCGGCGTGCGCGCCGACGACGAGTGCGGCACGTGGGTCGGCGGCCGCTTCGACCCGCCCGCGGCCGTCGCGGCCGTCACGTTCAACCAGGACGACTTCACGGAGGTGCTCCTCGAAAAGCACGACCCGGAATCGGAAACGTGGCTCCTCGCGCGCACGCTGACGGACGTCGCGCTCGTGGAGGCGTATTAACCCACGCGCCTCGCGACCCCCATGTGGCGCGCGAGGCCGGGCTTGGGGAGGTAGTCGCCGAGCTCGAAGCCGGCGTCCGCGAGGACCGCGCGCGCGTCGGCCTCGTCGACGCCCGGCATGGGCAGGCGGTCCGCGAAGCACAGAGACACGGACGTCGCGTTCGTCGCGCGGGCCGCCCGCAGGAGCCGCCGCGCCGCGTCGTCCTCGAGGTAGATGAGCAGCGCCTCCAGGACGAAGACGACGTGCGAGCGCCCGCGGACCGCGTCGTCGAGCGCCGCGGCGACGCCGTCGGCCGCGAGGTCCGCGGGCACGTAGGCGTCCGCGGGCGCGTGGGTCTCGTAGCGCGCCGCGAGCGCCCGCTTCTGGGCGACGACGGCCGGGAGGTCCAACTCCGCGGTGCGATGCGCCGTGTCGCCGAAGAGCCGCGCGGCCCGCGTGCAGAACCCCGCGCCGAGGGCGACGACGGCGCAGTCCGCGGGGTCCAAACCCGCGAGCTCGCCGAGCACCGCGTCGTCGAGGTACGCGGACCGCAGGAGCACGTTCTGGTGGTGCAGCCGCGGGTAGAGCAGGCGGAACGGCCAGCGCACGGCCGTCCGCGTGCCGCGCGGCAGCAGCTCGTAGGCCGCGCGGTCGCCGGCGATGGCCTTGAGCCAGAGCACCTGGAGGTTCACGCACGTGTTCTCCGGCGCCGCGTCGTCCCAGCGATGCAGGAGCGGCAGCAGCCGCCGGTGCGACCGCCAGGCGAAGGCCCAGACGAACTTCGGCGCCGTCCACGGCGCGCCGACGCCGATGCGCTGCGCGATCTGGCGCAGCGGGTACTTGGAGCCGCGCCGCCGGAACCAGTTGGCATGCAGCGCGCTGCTCGCCGCGGCGAGCGCGACGAGGCGCAGCAGCGGTCGAGCCATCATGATTGCGCGATCAGCAAGAAGCTCACGCGGGCCATCGGCAAGAGCGGCATCACCAACATCAAATCTCGGACACAGGCTCAAGCGCTCCGCGGACGCGACCGTCGACGCGTAACAAGGGCTGCCCGCTGGGCTGCGCGTCGCCGCGCGCGCCGCCGCGACGGGCCCATGGCGCTCCTCCTGCTGAGCCTCGTCTCCTGGCTCGCGGCCGGCGAACCGTGCCCGCCGAAGTACGGCCGGCGGCGGCTGGACCCGCCGACGGCGAACTCGAGCACGGCGGCCCACCCGGCGTCGGACGTGGACACGGGCTTCCGCACGGCGGACATGGAGGCGTTGGGCGTCGGCGGCGGCGACCGGCCGGCGTCGAACGCGAGCACGCTCGTCGTGCTCATGGGCAGCGCGCGCGGCGGCGAGAACACGTGGCAGACGCTCTACGACCGCCTGCTCGAGCCCAACGGCGCGGACCTGGCGCTCCTCCTCGGCGCCACGGCCGCCAAGGCGGGCGTGTCCCTCTACGCGCGCGCCAAGTACATCTGGGAGGTGCGCGACTTCGCGGACTGGAGCGACGCGCTCGACTCGATGGGCGGCGACGGCACGTGGCGCGCGATCGCGCGGAACAACACGAAGTCGCACGAGATGGTCTTCGGCGGCGCGGCGGGGCTGCACGGCAACGGCGTCATCGTGCCCTACCTCAAGTGGGTCTTCGCGCGGAAGATCGACGAGTACCGCCTGCTGGAGCGCTACGACCGCTTCGTGATCACGCGGACGGACCAGTTCTACACGTGCAACGTCGATTTAGCGATATACCCGCTGGAGTACGTCTGGGTCCCCGACGCCCAGGACTACGGCGGCATCTGCGACCGCTGGATCGTCGCGCCCAAAGCCCTCGTGAAGGCGACGCTCGACATCATCGAGCCCGTCGTCCTCGCGCCGAAAAAGTACTGGGACTTCAAGGGCAACCCCGAGGCCCTGGTCAAACTGCGCTACGAGGAGAACGGCGTCTGGGACCAGATCCGCCGCTTCGGCCGGCGCATGTTCACGGCCGCGACGCCCGGGGACCACACGCGGTGGAAGCGCATCGTCGGCTGCGTCTTCCACCCCTACAACGTCTGCCTCAAGTACAAGGAGGAGTTCGACGACGCCATGAAGGGCTGCGGCATCCGCCACGTGCCCAAGGTCGAGGCGCGCTGCCGCGGCGACTGCCGCTGCGAGGACCCCCAGGGCTGCGGCCACCGGAACTCCGTCAACGACCGCGACGTGGCTCGCCTCGAGAAGGTCAACGGCCCGAAGAGCCACCTGAACGCGTAACACACATCTATGCATAGTTATGTACAAGCGCCCGCCGTCGGATGTCAGCCGCTCGCGTACGTCTTCGCGAGCTTCCAGAGCGACGGGTCCGGCGGCAAAGCGACGCCGATGGACCCGGGCTCGCCCGGCGCGTCCTCGCCGCCGCCGAGCGACACGAGGCCGCTCCCCGTCAGGCTCCCGAGCACGAGCTTCTCGCAGCAGGCGCTGAGCATGGCCTTGTCGTAGAGCGACACGAGCACGCGCGCGGACCCCGCGGCCGCCGCCGCCAAAACTTCGACGAGCGGCAGCGTCTCGTCGGTCCAGACCGCCGCGTCGGAGTCCACGAGCACCGTGTGCCCCGGCGAGCAGGCGCTGATGACCCGGTCCGGGTCGAAGGGCGGCTCGAAGAGCGACACCTCGGGCCCGCCCGCGACGGGCCGCACGGCCGGTAGGCCGTCGATGTTCCGCGAGCCCGGGTCCACGGCGAGCACGTTGAGCCCGTCGAGCTCCGGGTCGTGCGCCGGCGCGCTCGCCGACTCCCACATGATCACGCCGCTCGGGCTCTGGTTGATCGTCGAGATGGCGTCGAGCGGCCGGCGGATCGTCATGCGCAGGTCGAGGTAGAGCTCGACCCGCGGCAGCGCCAGCGGCGGCGCGAGCGCCGACGCCGCGGCGACGACGAGCACGCACGCCAGCGCGCGACGCCGCGCCATCGTCGCTTCGATCGGCGGCCGCGCGGCTCCGAACGACGTCGTAAAGCCGCGTCAGCCCGATCTATCTCCGACCGAGCTCCTCGCGAGCTGCTCGACGCCGGCAACGACCGCTTCAACCACGACGCTCCCACGACCGTCCCATGGCGTCCGAAGGCCCTCTTCTTGGGTCTTACTTTACGCGGCGAAGCGCTGGAGGCGCGCCTCGCGCGCGCGCTCCGCGTCCGACGGCGGCACCGCCGCGGCGGTCCCCGTCAGGTCGCAGGGCGCCGCGCGCGTGCCGTCGCCCGCGTTCTTGGCCGCGAAGAACGCGCGGAGCCGGTTGTGGAGCTCCGTCGCCCCGCCGAGCGTCGCGAGGCGGTCCGCGTACCACTCGGACATCATGGAATTCGCGGTCAGCGCGCGGTCCAGCAGCACCAACGCGCCGAAGTCCTTCGCGTGTCGGATGAGGCGGCCCGCGGCCTGGTTGACGTTGCGGTACGCCTCCGCGCGGTACCACGTCTCCCCCCGGTCGCGGCCGTCGTGCTCGATCTTGAGGCGCGTGTTCGCGTCGAAGCGCGGCGGGTAGGGCACGCCGACGATGCAGACGCAGCGCGCGGCGTCGTCCTTGAAGTCCGCGCCCTCGGCGGCCCGCCCGCGCATGACGGCGAGGAGCAGCGCGCCGCGCGCGCTCGCCGCGGCGGCGCGGTACTCGGCGACCATGGCGTCGAAGGAGTCGCCGCTCAGGTCCCGCGACTCGACGTGGACGTCCTTCTCCGCCCGGAGCCGCGCGAGGCCGCCCGTCTCGGTCCACCGCTTCAGCGCGAGCTCCAGCAGGCGGTAGGACTTGAAGAAGACGAGGACGCCGTGGGGCGCCGCCGACGCCACGCCGAGGAGCGCCGTCGCGAGGGCGTCGTAGTAGCGCCGCGTCGCCGGCGCGTCCGGCTCCGCCGTCGCGTTCTTGTACGACGCGTCCAGATCGACGCCCGACGCGACGGGCAGGTGGAGCGGCAGGAGCGACGACGCGATGGCCGGCAGGTGGCACGCCGCCACGGCGTGCACGGCGTAGCACTGCGACAGGGGCGGCCCGTCGTCCGCGGGCGCCGCGGCGCCGCCGCCGTCGACGTTCTCGTCCGCGGCGGCGGCGAAGCGCGTCGGCAGGAGGCGGTCCGGCGGCCCGAGGTCGAGGCCCAGCTCCTCGGCGAGCAGGTCGCAGGGCCGCAGCGTGCCCGAGAGCATGAGCAGGCTCCGCGCGGGCCGCACGTAGTTCGCCTCGCCCAAGCCCGCGGCGCGCTGGCCGCGCGTGAGCTGCGTCATCGCGACGCTGCCCTGGAGGCAGACGAAGCGCAGCGTGAGCTTGCGGTCCGCGTCGCAGCCCGTCTCGACGCGCCGCGCCGCCGCCGCGCGCTCGGCCTCCTCGACCCGCTCGCGCGCGTCGCGCGCGGCCTTGGACTCGCGGCCGCGGCCGCCGCGGCCGCCGCGGCCGCCGCGGCCGCCGCGCGCGGGGCCGCGCCGCGTCGGCTGCCAGGGCGCCTTGGGCGCGACCCGCGGCTCGCTGCGGCAGATGAGGCGGTAGTGGCGCGCCGCCGCGGGCTCGAGGAGGTAGCGGAGCTTCACGAGGATCTGCTCGAGGTCGTTGATCGTGTCGGACCGCACCGCGCCGCTCTCCAGGCCCTCGTCGATGAGCGTCTTCCGCAGCTTCCAGAGGATCTTCGTGTTCTCGTCGACGCGGTCCGCGGAGCGCAGGCCGACGACGTCGCGCACGAGCTCCGCGGCGGCCGCGCCGCCCCAGACCCGCTCGCGCGCGTCGCCGTCGCGCGCGGCCGCCGCGGGCGGCAGCGGCGCCGCGTCGCCGTCCTTCGCGGCCCGCAGCCAGCCCAGCAGCGCCACGAGCGGGCCGCCGCGCGCCGTCGCCTCGAAGAGGAGCGGCCGCTTCTTCGCCTTCTTCTTCTTCTTCGGCGCGGCGGCGGCGTCCTCCGGCGCCTCGGACGGCGCATCGCCGCCCGGCGGCGCGATGAGCGACCGCAGCATGGCCTGGGCCTCGTCGTGCTCGTCGAGGTAGGGCACGAACTCCTCGAGCGTGCGCACGAGGTCCGCGAGCCGGTCCTCCGTGACGTCGTACGACGCGGCGTCGCGCGCGACCTGCGGCAGGTTGTGCGCCTCGTCGACGACGACTAGGGCGTCCTCGAAGACCTGCTCGAGGCCGCCCGCGCGCCGCGTGATGGGCTCGACGAGCTGCTGGTACGTCACGAAGATCAGCGACGCGCCCTCCTGGATCTGGTCCTGCGCCATGTGGAACGGGCAGACGTGCGTCGCCTGGCCCTCCTTCACGGCGTCCTCGATGTCCCAGACGTTCATCTTCCCGCCGAGGCGGAAGTGGGGCCGCCATTTTTGGGATTGCGGGTAGCCGATCTTCTCCGCCGTGTCGAGGTGCCCGCAGCCGGAGTTTTTCACGTCGAAGCGGCCCCGCTTGTTCGCGTTCTTCTGGATCTTCGTCGCCTCCTCGCAGGCCTCGGCCTTGTTCGGCGCCGTCGCGATGTCCGGGTGGAGGCAGAAGCGCTCGCGCGAGAGCCTCAGGCTCATGAGCGGCCGGTAGGGGCAGCTCCGCTCGTACTCGCGGACCGCGTGCTGGAGCTGGTCGTGGGTCCGCGCGACCCAGACGACGCGCGTCGGCGTCGCGTCGTAGTTGGCGCGCTGCCAGGCGAGCGCCGCGGCGAGCGCCGCGAGCGTCTTGCCCGTGCCCGTCGGCGACTCGAGGAACGCGCTCCGCGACGCCTCCGCGGCCCGCAGCGCGCCGTCGATGACCTGGAGCTGGGACCGGTAGGGCGGCCGGCCCCGGGGCAGGTGCACGTCGACGCCGCGGCGCACCATCTTGAGCATCGTCGCGGCCCTGGCGCCGTCGAAGTCGACGACGGGCTTCGGCAGCGCGAGTTCGCCGGATCGCAGCTTCGCGTTCCGCTCCACGCGCTCGTGGCGCCGCGACGCCTTGCTCGTCTTCTTCGCCGCGTCCGCGGCCTTGGCCGTCTCGCCGCGCTCGCGCTTCGCCGCCGCGGGCTTCTTCTCCGCCTTCGGCTTCCGCTCCGCCGCCTTCTGCGCCGCGGGCTTCTTCGTCTTCTTCGGCGCGAAGGACTCGAAGGTCATGCCGCCGGCGGAGAAGTCGTTGAAGGCGTCGACCGGCGGCGCCACCGAGTCGTCGAAGGCCTCGCTCGCCGGCGCGAACCGCGGCGCGTCGGTGGGCGCGGGCGCATTGGCGGGCGCGAGCCGCTTGCGCGCGGCGCTCAACGCGATCGGCTCGTCGTCGGAGCTGGAATCGTAGGCGTCGATGGTCGGCGCATTGTCGACGCCGATGGTCGGCGCATCGTCGACGCCGCAGAGGTCGATGACGTCCGGCTCGTAGCCGAGCTGAATGCCTCGTCCCATTGCAACGAGATCGTTCCAGCTCAACGTCTCGCCGGCGAGTTCAACTTGAAGCGCCTTGAAGCCCAGGTTCGAACATCTCGCGCGCGATCGAGAGGCTGCCCCGCGTCGAGGCGATGGACGAGCACCAGCTCGGCGCACGTGTGCGCGTCAAAGGCACCGGTGGGAGCGTTGACGGGAAATTTGGTATGATTGTCGCCCGAGGCCACGAGGGGCGCTGGACGGTGGACCTGGGGCCCGATGGTCGGCGGAACCTTAGGCCGGAGAACCTCGAGGTGAGCAAGAAGATGACGCTGCGCTCCTCCTCGACCCCCGCCTCCACGACATCCGTCTCGGGCCCCGAGCTCACTACGGAATTGGACCTCGAGTGCACGCCGCGCCGGTCCATCTCCATGGTATGCATCGTCTGCGCCTCCGAGGACTTGGAGTCCAAGCTCCCTTGCTGCGGCGCTGCCGTGTGTACCTCGTGCCTCCAATCCACCGCCGCCGCTGCTGGCAAATTCTTCAGCTGCCCTTCGTGTCGCAGCGACGACGACAGCTTCTTGTCGCACGTGGCGGCCCTCGGAGTCGAGCCGGACGCGACGATCCCGGCGTGGATGGACGAGACCGACGAACTGATGGTCGTCCGGCGCATGTGCACGGCCAAGAAGTGCAAGTCGCCGCGCGGCCCCGGATTCGATACGTCCGGGTTCATGAGCACGCGCGGCGTCGGGGACCAGCGCGAGTGGCGACTGATCGCGTGCAGTTCGTGCGGGCAGAGCGCGATCCATCCCGGCTGCACACGGAATCTCTCCGAGTCGTGGCGCTGCGACGATTGCGGCGGCGCGGTCGACGGCGATAAAACCGTTGCGTGCGAGGTCGACGAGTTTCGAGTGGGAGACGCCGTCGAGGCGCGCTGGCGCGGCGGCTCGAAATGGTTCGACGGGCAGATAAGGAAGGTCGACACGAAGAAAGAGACGCGTTGGCTCGTCGCCTTCTCGGATGGCGACACGGAGTGGATCGACCGAGAGATTCGGCTGCGTCGACCAAAGCAAAAGGAGGCGCGTTGTGCGAAACGTGAGGAGGAGGCGCCGACGGCGCCAAAGGGCGGACACACGCACCGAGGGTTTTACGGATTCTGGGATTCGCAGCGGGCGTCCATCGACGAGGAGCTAGGTGACATGGCGGAGCTGAGCGCGCGGGAGCGCCTTCATCTTCGTATGAGGAAGGCCAGCGAGCGATGGCAGGCCCTCGACGAGGAGACGCGGAACGATTGGCGAGCGGGCCCGGAGCCGCAGGAGGACGAGAAAGAAGTGCGTCGGACGCTCCCTCCGCGGAAGGCGGCCGGCAAGATGCGCGCCGCGGACGAGGATGAGCAGCAGCGAAAGAAGGTCAAACGCGCGCCCAGCGATGCTCGCGAGACGCGCGGGGCCAAGGTAGCGGCGCAGCAGCGCGTCAAGGAGCCAAAGCCTCATCATCATCATCATCATCTCAACCGTGTCGACAGATCGTCCCTCTTGGCCAAGATGGAAGCCGACGGCTGGGTCGTAGAGTCGATACCGCGGCGGCACGGGAAGGAGAACCATGTCGATCACTACTACCACCCTCCCTGCGGCGGCGACCGCTACAAGAGCTTGACGGCTGTCGCCCGGGAGCACTTTCCCGAACACATCGTCGCCTGCGCGAAAGAGAAAGAGTCCAGCGAGGAGGCTCAGGTCAAAACGCGGTCGTGCGCCGAGGCGCTGGAAGAGCGGGTCCCGGCGGCGACGCCGGCGCCCGTCGCCAAGAAACTCAAAGTCGTCGAGACGAAGTCAAAGGCGGGCGAGAAGTCGGAGGCCGCGGCCAAGGCGGAAGCGGCGAAGGCCCAGGCGGAGGCGGACCGATCGCGGATCCTCGAGCTCGAGCGGCTCGTGCGCAGCCTCGAGCGCGAGAACGCGAAGCTCCGCGAGGACGCCGATCGGGCGCCGGCGCCCGTCGCGGCGCCGACGCGCCAGGCCGACCACGACCAGGTGCTCCGCAGCGCGCTCGACGAGCGCGACGGCCTCTGGGAGGCCGCGCTCACGCGCGCGGAGACCGAGTCCCGCCTGTTCGCGCGGCTCGCGAACCTGGAGGCCGGCTGGAAGCCGACGCCGCGCCCGCCCGCGCCGGGCGCGTGAGTTCGCGCACTCCTAAGGCTGGTTGACTCCAACCCGCGTCACAAGGAAGGCTTACAGCTCCGGATCGTCGACGCTCAGCCGCGCGGACGTCGCGCGGATCGTCCCCGCGGCCGCGTCGTGCGCGAAGTCGCACGCGAGGCGCCAGACCAGCCCCGCCGACGACCAGGCGAGCGCGCCGGCGAGGGAAGCGCCGTCGAGCGTCGCGACGTCCTCCGCGAGCACCGCGCCCAACTCGCCGACGGCCCGGAGCTCCGCGCCGTCCGCGAGCGCGTCCGTCGCCGCCTTGCGCGCCGCCGGCGCGCGCGCGTCGGCGTCGGGCGCGAAGATCACGCCGTTCGCGTCGGGCTGGCGCTCGGACCGCGCGAGGAAGAACGTCGCGGTCCTGCCCGTCGCCTTCGGCCGCAGCTTCAGGATCAGCGTCGCCGGCGCGGACTTGAGGGCCTGCGCGGGCGTGAGCGCCACGGCCCTGGGTCGGTCGTCGGCGGCGGAGCAGGAGACGTGGATCTTCACCATGCCCTGGATGAACAGCTTGTCCTTTGGGCCGAACGGTCCGCCGCACAGCGCGCACGTCGGCGCCATACCTCGCACGATCCGCTCCAGGTCGTCGCCGATGACCTCGATGGCCTGCTCCTTGGCGGCCCGGGCGACGGTCAGGTCCGTCTCCGAGGGCCGCTGGTTCGCCGCCTCCCTCGCGGCGCCCGCGCGATGCGCCTTGTCCCTCGCGCGCGCGAGGCACGACACCGTGCGCCGCGCGGCCGACGCCTCGTCGCAGAGCAGGAGGTCGTCGTCGTCGAGCGTGCCGTGCTGCACGCCGACGAGCGACTTGCCGCAGGACCCGCAGCGGAAGCAGGACGGGTGGAAGCTCAGGCCCCGGTGGGACGCGGCCTCGGAACTGGGGACCGCGAGGCCGCAAAACCCGCAGGCCACCTCGCTCTTCTTCGTCGCGAGCTTCGACGCGGCCGCGGACCAGGCCTTGTTCTTCTTGGGCGGCGGCGCGGCCTCGCCGGCGACCTCCCGGCGCAGCTGCTGCGACCGCGCGGCGACGCTGACGCCGGAGCACTCGTCCTCGGCGCTGGGTCCGCCGGACGCCGCGGCCGCCGCGTCGTCGCCCGCGCGCGCCGCGTCGTCGCCCGCGCGCAGCACATTGGTCCGCTCCTTGACGGACACGCCGGCGCACTCCTTGGCGGCCGCTTCCTTGCCGTCGACGGCCTCGCTCGTGTAGTCCGCCGGCGGCTTGTAGTCCTCCGTCGAGCCGTCGCCGAGCAGCCGCGACGTGTCCGAGGTGACGTAGATATCCAGCGTCTCCGCCTCCGGAGCTTTTCTTCGATTCAGGCAGCAGCACACGCTCAGCAGCATGAGGATGCCGCGCGGACGCTCGTCGACGTCCTCAGGCTCCGGATCGTCGGCCATCGTCGTCACCGAGGTGGGCAGCCGCTTCAGCTTTGGCTGCTTTGCCCCAAATTTGCCACTTGTAAGTGTTCGCAATGGTGTGCTCTTGTTACCGGCTCTGGCCGAGCATCTTCAGCGCCGTGCTGGCGTCCGCAACAAGGCCCGCAGAGGCCTCCGCAACCAGGCCCTCGATCTTATTCTTGATGCCGGACCAGTGGCGCTTCGACTGGGACTCTTTTGGCCGCGCGCACGAGGAGGCCGTGGACCTCGAACTCCCGAACCTGCGGCGCCTCGCCGCCGAGGGCACGCGCTTCGAGCACGCCTACGTCCAGGCCGTCGTCTGCGCGCCGTCGCGGTCCTGCATGGCGTCGATGCGCGACTACGACGACGCGGGCACGGCGACGAACGGCGCGAACGACTACGACGTGACCATCCCGACGTACTTCTCGCTGCTCCGCGCCAGCGGCTACCACACGATGACCACGGGCAAGGACGACCTGACGAAGCTGTCCCAGCTCGGCTACCACCTGAACCACTCGACGAGGAACGCGAGCGACACGTACCACATGCGCGAGCTCGGCTTCAGCGACGGCATCCGCTACTCGGGGAAGCTCGACGTGATCTCGTCGTACCCGGAGCCCCACGAGGCCTACGGCTACATGCTCAACGCCACGACGGTCGCGCTCGCCAACGGGTCGACGGTCAACGCCTTCGCGGCGCACGCGGCGTGCCTCCGGGGCGACGCGGCGACGTGCGCCGACGCGGCCGCGTTTCCGGCGGGGCTCTACGAGGACGACTGGACGGCGCGCAACGCCGTCGCGCTGCTCGACCGCGCGCCGGCCGACGCGCCTTTTTTTCTGTGGGTGTCCTTCCCCGGGCCGCACAACCCCTTCGCCGTGCCCGAGGCCTACCGCGTCGACCGCGGCGACTACCCGGACGCCGTCGACGAGCCCGGGTCGCCGCGGCCCCACTGCGACGCGTCGAACGGCCCGGGCCTGAACCGGACGCGCTGCGACTACGCCGCGGAGCTCGAGCGGCTCGACGAGCACTTCGGGGCCGTCGTCGCGGCGGCGGAGCGCAACGCGCCGGGCGAGCTCGTCGTCTGCCTCTTCAGCGACCACGGCGAGATGCTCGACGACCACGGCGGCACGGACAAGTCGAAGCCCTGGCAGGGCGCCGTGTCCGTGCCCCTCGTCTGCTCCGGCGGCGCCGTCGCGAGGAACCGCACGATCGCGGCGCCCGCGGCGATCATCGACCTCGGCGCGACGGCGTTGGACTGGGCGGGCGTCGCGGCGCCGCCGGGCGCGACCGCGGCGTCGATGCGCGGGCTCCTCGAGGGCGCGCCCGAGGCGGCGCGGAACCGCACGGTCGTCCATTCGGGCCTGCGCAGCTCCTCCTTCCCCGAGTCGGACCGCCGCCTCGACGAGGTCGAGAGCGACGCGTTCGACTTCCGTTTGGCGGTCGCGCGATTCGCCGAGGGCACCTTCAAGTTCGTCTGCTGCGCCGGCGCGTGCCCCTACGCGCCGTCGACGGTGCCGCCGCCGGACGCCGACGGCTACACGCGGCTGCTCTTCGACACCGTCGCGGACCCCTACGACATGCGCGACGTCAAGGCGGCGTTCCCCGCCGTCGCCGAGGCGCTCCGGAAGACGCTGCCCGTCCGCCACGGCTTCGACTGCGCCGCCGTACAGTTTTAGCTCTCCCGCCGCCGCTTCCGCGTGGCGTCGAGGGCCGACACGAGCGCGAGGGGCGTCTCGGCGCCGTGCGCGGCGGCGAGCGCGGCCTCGACGCGGCGGCGCTCGAAGGCCACGGCGCCGTCGAGGGACGCGCAGGCCGGCGCGTCCGCGTGGCGCCGCGCCCAGCCCGCGTCGGCGCCCGCGTGGGCCGCGGCGACGCGCGCGAGGCCCGCCTGGCGCCGCTGGAGCGCGTGGACGCGGGCGAAGTGGTCGTAGGCGATGGCGTCGGGCCCCGCGGCGCAGTCGTCGCAGAGCACGCGGCCGTCCCGCGCCGCGCGTTTGTCGCCGTCGACGACGGCGCCGCAGTTCGCGCACTTGTTCGAGTGGAAGAAGGCCGTGATGCGGCCCTGCGTGCCGCGGCCGCCCGGGAGCGCGCGCCGCCGCGCGTCGTCGCCGCGGCGCCGCGCGCCCGACCGCCAGTCCGCGATCCACGCGAAGACGTCGACGCCCGCGAGCTCGAGGAAGCGCGACAGCGGCGGCAGGAAGAGCTTCTCAACGTAGTAGTCGCGGTCGATGTCGTGGAGGAGCGCCGGCGCGTGCGTCGCGAGGCGCTGGCGCTGGTAGAGCTTCAGGGAGCGGCCGTCGGCGCGGACGACGACGCAGGGCACGCGCTCGCCGGGCTGCGTCGCGTTGCCCCGCTTGTCGAGGTCCTCGACGACGTGGACGAGCGGGTAGTTCGTCGACCGGTACTTGCCGCTGCCCCGGTACTTGCGCCACAGGATCAGGTCCCGCAGGCTCGCCGCGTCGACGCCCTCCATCGTCTCGAGCACGCGCCGCTTCACGAGGCTCAGGTCGCGGTGCCGCAGCAGCTCGCGCACGCAGACTTCGAGACGGTGGCGCACGAAGTCGCAGTTGTCCCGCGTCTTGACCTCGAGGCCCTTGACCAGTAAATGGGGCGCGCCGCCCGGGTCCTCGACCGCGTAGCCGACGTAGCGCTTCTTGGTGACTAAAACACAACCGTCGAAGACGTACTCGAACTTCAATTCCACGCCCGGCGGCGTGCCGGCGTCGACGACGTCCTTGATGCGCCGCAGCGCGTGCTCCCGGGCGCCCTCGACGCTCATGCCGCGGCACTCGACGAAGATGGAGTCCGTGTCGCCGTACTTCACGGGAAGCTCCGCGCCGTAGCCGCCCGCGACGTGGATCGCGGCCTCGAGCGTCTTCCGCCCGGAGTCGACGATGGCGTCGGCGAGGTCCGCGCAGGGCTGGCGCCCGCTGAAGCTCGCCGCCGTGTAGCCGTAGGTCACGTTGGCCAGCAGCTTGAGCGCGAGCTGCCGCGCGTCCAAGACCCGCGCGAGCGTGCCCCGCCGCTTCCCCCGCGCGCGCTTCAGCGCCTGCTTCGTCATGATGCGCGCGGCCAGGATCTCGCGCAGCATGCGCGGCAGCACGCCCTCGCGGTGTGCCTTGGGCGCGAAGACGGCGCCGTTGGGCGCGACGTACGCGCGCGCGCCGTCGGCCTCCGCGGCGAGGAGGCCCCGCCGCGCGAGCGCCTCGGGCCACCGCGCGGCGACGCCGAGGCGGCCCGTCGTGATGCCCGCGCCCTCGGCGACGTCGGTCGCGCCCGGCGCTCGCCAGTCCTTGCGCTCCCCGCGGTCGAGCGCCTGCCCCTCCCGGTCGTCGACGTCGCCGTCCGTGGAGCTGCCGTCGTCGTCGTCCTCGCGCGCGGCCGGCGGCCGCGCGGCGCCGCGGAGCTTGCAGATGCAGGTCGAGAAGCACAGATTGTGGGCGATGACCATGCTCGGGTAGAGGGACTGGAAGTCGAGGCAGGCGACGGGCTCCGTGTAGACCGCGGAGACGGGCTCGAGGTTCAGCGCGACGACTTCGAGCGCGGGCTGGTTCGCGACCGCGGGGCCGTCCGGCGACCGCAGCGCGTACCAGGTCTCGCCCGCCGGCGGCCCCTCGTCGCCGTTGCCGTCGACGAAGGCCGCCGGGTTGCGGCCGCGGCGCGGCTTGGACACGGGGAAGAGCACGGCTTCGACGCGGTGCTGCGAGCCGCGCGACAGCGCGTCGTCCAAGGGCATGCCGAAGAGGCGCGCGATGGCGAGGTTGCGGCCGAGCACGTCGAGCGCCGTGACGACGTCGAGGCAGGCGCGGCACGTCGCGGCGACGTGGGCGACGGCCGCCGCGCGCGCGGCCGCGGCGGCGCCGCGCGCGAGCCTTCGCGCGACGTCCGCCGCCGTGTAGGCCGGCAGCGCCTCGCCGAGGACGTGGCGCAGGACCGCGGGCAGGTCCGCATTGAGCAAACTCGTCAGCTGGTCGTCGCCGCGCACGGCGCACCAGCCGCCGACGAGCGTGCGGCCGCGGAACTCGCCGCCGAAGAACGTTCTTTTGCGCGGGAGTTTCGCGTCGCGCGAGAGCCGCTGGTCGAAGGCGGCGAGCCGGAGCGCCTTCGCGCGGGCGACGACGTAGCCCCAGGACTCGCGCGCCGCGTCCCAGCCCAGGAGCACGTCCGGGTCCAGCGTCTTGGTGAGTTCTTCCAGCCGGAGGAGCAGCGCGAGCTCCGTCGGTACGACCTCGACGCCCGGGAGCGGCGCCGCGCCGACGGCGATGGCGCCGATCGCGTCGTCCTCGCTCTCGGCGAGGTGGTGGTCCCGGTAGCGCCAGCAGGCGCACAGGATCGCGTCCGCGGCCGCCGCGCTCCGCGCGCGGCCGGGCGCGCACGCCGCCGCGACCTCGAGCGCGAGCAGCGACGCGCCGGGCTCGCCCCGGCCGCCGACGCGCATCGTCGCGCCGTCGCGCGCGCCGCTGCCGGGCCCCGTGCTCTTCGGCGTGCGCAGTGCGTCGACGGGCGTGAGGAACGACGCCTCGGACGCGCGCGGGTCCCGCGGCGCCGCCGCGCCGACGGTCGCCGCGACGCGCGCGCGCGACGGCGGGTCCGCCACGGGCGCGAGGACGACGCGCCCGCGCCAGAAGCGCCGCCGCCAGCGCCCGACGCGGTCCGCGAAGCGCGTCTCCAGGCGGCGCCAGTGCTCGAGGTCCGCGTCCGGCGGCGCCGCCGTCGCGCGCCGCGCCGCGTCGTCGACGCGGCCGCTCTTCAGGGCCTTGATCCGCCGCGGCACGTCCCGCGGGTCGCCGTAGAAGAGGGGCCGCGGCGCGACCTCCGTCGTCAGCCACGCGCGCACGGCCGCGGCCGTCGGCGGCGGCGCGGACGGCGTGAGCGTGACGCCGCGGCCGGGGGGCGACGCCGGCGACCGGGGGCCGTCGCCGGGCGACGTCGGCGACGTCGGCGACCAGGGCTCGCCGACGTCGTCGTCGTCGTCCGACTCGTAGGTGGCGTAGACGGGCGGCGCGTCGTCGTCCTCGTCCTCGTCCGCGCGCGGCGCCTCCGCCTCCTCGTCGTCGTCGTCGACGTCGTCGTCGTCGTCGTCGTCCCGTTCGTGCTGCGTCATGCGCCGCTCGTACTCCGCCTCGTCCTCGTCGCTGTCCCGGTCGTGCTGCGTCTGCCGCTCCTTCTCCCGGCGCTCGCCCTCGTCCTCGTCCGCGTCCTCGCAGCACTGCGACGACCGGCGGCGCTCGTCGTCGGCGTCGAGCTGCGACGCCGAGATTTCGCCGCCGCCGCGGTCGTCGCCGGAGACCTCCGGCGGCGCCGCGCGGAGGGCCTCGAGGGCGGCGTTCCACTTGGCCTGCTCCGCCGGCGCCGCGGCGCCGAGCGTGACGGGCTTCGGCGGCGACGGCGACAGCGCCGGGCTCAGCCAGCACGCGTCGACTTTGAGCGCGTCCTCGACGGCGGCCTCGTCGAAGCCGTCGGCCCGGAGCCGCGCGGCCTCCTCGTCGAAGAGGTCGCGGAGGGCCGGCACGGCGTAGGTCGCCGCGGGCCGGCCGTCGGAGCGCGCGGCCGCGGGCGCGACGGAACCGTACGCGACGTCGATCTCGACGGCGTCCGCGGCGCCGCGCCGCCTGCGACGGGACCCGAGGCCGAGGCCGCGCACGCGCTCCGCCGTCCAGCGGCGTCCGCCGTCGCCGGCCGCCGCCGGCGGCGCGTGGCGGAACGTGGGGTTCTGGAGCGCGAGCGGCGCGAGCGCGCGCGCGCCGCAGTCGGCGAAGAACCGCATGTGGTGGTTCACGTGCGACTCGTAGGGCTGTAGTTTGAGGGGCCGGCCCTCGAGCTCGACGAGGTGGCCCTCGAGGAGCAGCCGCGCCGCGCGGCGCACGTCGACGTCGCCGGGCCGGTAGAGCGCCACTCGCAGAAAGTGCGCGGGCTCAGAGGCGTAGCCGTAGAACGGCGTGAGCAGCGCGGACGTCACGGCCCGCACGCGCGCGCACGTGCCGTTGTCCTGGCCGCTGTCGTTGCCGCGCAGGGCCGCGTCGAGGCTTTTGGCCACCCGGCGGCAGAGCTCGCGGCGGCGCATCGGGTCCGCGAACAAGCGGCGCGCGGCGTCGTCGTCTTCGAGCGGCGCCGCGTAAAAGTAGGGGAAGCAGCCGTGCACGTAGACGGCGCAGGGCTGGTGGCTGTCGAGCCGGCCCCAGAGCTTGACGATGGGCCAGTTCATGGCGTCGTAGGACTCGAAGCCGCGCGCCGTCCGCGGCGCGAGGCTGGGCGGCGCGTCCTGGTGCTCGCACAAGCACGTGTGCGCCGCGCATTCGACGCTGATGGGGTAGAACGTGACCGTGGTGGCGTCGTTATCATTGTGCATCGTCGCTGAACTGGTGGCGCGCATCGTCGCGACGCGCGCGGGACCGGTCCGCCGCAGTCCGGACTGGTCCCGATCGATCTGTGGCAAAGGCCAAAGCGGCAGCGATCGAGACGTGATCGAGCTCTTCAAACGCCAGCCGCGTCGTCCGCGAGCGGCCGGGAACAGATGCACGAGAAGGGAATTTTAAAAAGATTTAAAAAGAAAGGAAAGGGAAAGTAGGAGGCTTGCTTGATCCGAACTTGAGTGCACGATGCCGTCCCTGAGCGGTGTGCCACGACTGCAAGTGCCGGCGCGCGCGCAGCTGCGACGACGAGCTCCAATTTTTCTAGCGCGCTGCGCGCGGGGTCGGAGCTGGCCGCCACGCGGAGGCGCATGGACAGCTAACTACGCGATTACGACGAAGTTTCGAAGATGCTGCTCAAAATTTCTACCGCGCTTCGCGCGGGGAGGATTGCACCGAGGCCGCGCGGACGAGGCTGTAGCCTCTTGGACACGCGCGGCGTCTTGTTCTGCGTGCGAAATAGATTTCGAAGCGCACATAGTCGTGGATCTTCGGCCGACACATGGGCGCGCGCGCGCGCGCCGTGCGCGCGCGCGCCGCCGCGCGCGGCAACGATGTCTCGCCGCGCGCCACGGACGTGGACCACGTCATCGGCGGCCCGGAGGACGCCTTCGACGACATGGGCGCGCCGATGCGGATCAATTCCTCGCCGCTCGTCTGCGAGGGCTTGTGCTCGGGGCCGCGGGGTTGCGGCGCGCGCGGCGACGACGTCACGAGACGCCCCGCGGATCATCGGCGACTTGGAGGCTGGCCTCGGGACGACGTCCCGAGCCGCATCAACGGCGGCGGCGACAGGCACACGACGAATTCGTCGCTGTCGTCGGCCGCGGCGTCCATGTCGGCGCGAGGCAGCCCACGACGACGACAGGAACACGCCGCCGTCGCGCACGGCAAGGCCGCGGGGCAGCCCCGGGAGTTGCCGTGGGGCGCGGAAGGTATGCGACGGCATTTCGACGCGCTGGAAGCCCTGGAAAGGCGCCAGCAGGGCAGCCGATCCCGACACGGAAGCGCTGCGCATAGGCGTGAGCGGCGCGTTCACGGTGTTGTAGAGGCGTGAGTGGCGGAGAGGGCGTGTGAACAAGCGGCACTAAAGACTTCACCTTGTGAACGAAATGAGTGGTTCACACAACTTCTCTTGCTATTCATTTGGCCCGTCGAGCGCTTGAAAATGGCGCCTCGAATCGCGCTCGTCCTCGCCTGCGCGGCCTCGGCCTGCGCGCTGCGCGTGCCGATGCCGCGCGTCGCAGCCCCGACGATCCGCGCGCCGAAGCTCGCCCTGCCGCCGCTGCGCCCGACGGCCGTCGCCGCCGTCGCGGCGGCGACGCTGCTCGCGCCGGGCCCGGCGAGCGCGTCGCACCTCGGCGACGTCGTCGCGGACAAGCTGCGCCTGTCGGGCTTCAGCGACGCGTGGATCATCGCGCTCATCAGCGCCATGCCCGTCGTCGAGCTCCGCGGCGCGATCCCGATCGGCGCGCTCATGGGCCTGCCCATCGCCAAGGTCTTCGTGCTCTGCGTCATCGGCAACATGGCGCCGATCCTGCCCCTGCTCCTCGCGCTCCGGTCGCCCCTCGTGCAGAAGATCCTGGACAAGCCCCTGTCGAAGGCGCGGTCGAAGTCGGACGCGGTCTCCGGGAACGCGCGCTGGTCCGCGCTCGCGGCGTTCGTGGGCGTGCCCTTCCCGGGCACGGGCGCCTGGACGGGCGCCATGGTCGCCTTCGTCCTCGGCATGCCCCTGTCCGAGGCGCTCTCCGCCATCTTCGCCGGCGTGCTCGTCGCGGGCGCGATCATGTCCGCGCTCGTCGCCGCGGGGACCAAGGGCGCGCTCGCGGTGGCCGCCGTCATCGCCGGCGCCTTCGCCTTCAAGGCCCTCGCCGGCGGCGACGACGCGCCGGAGGAGACCGCGCCGGCGGCGAGCGACTAGGGCGAGGGACGCGCCTAACGGTCGAACGGGATAGCAACCAATTACCCCGCCTCGACGTCCCTCGCGGGCTTCTTCCCGCCCGGGCAGCAGCAGTCCCGCTTCGGCGCCGCGGCGACGGTCTCGTCGCCCGTCTCCCGGCCGCAGCAGAGCTTGAAGCCGCCGCGGCACGCCGCGTAGTAGCAGCAGCAGCCCTCGACGAGCCCGCGGCACGGCCCGCAGCACCGCCAGCTCTCGTGCGTGTCGAGGTAGATGTCGTGGAGGTCCTCCGACTTCTTGAGCACGTCCACGGAGTCGTAGTATTTGAGAAAGTCGCCGTACTCGATCCAGAAGACGCCGTCGTCGTCGGGCTTCGCCGGGTCGACGCCGCACCGCTTCGCGACCTTCGGGTGCGTCTTCCACAGCTCCGACCCGTCGGACCAGGCGCCCGTCCACTCGAAGTTGCCCCAGGGGTTGCGCAGCTTCAACAGGCGGAACCCCTCGGCCTCGGCCGCGGCGATGAGCGAGTACGCGTGGCCGCCGACGAGGCCGTCCTGGCGGTCCTTGATCGACGTCGACGCGGACATCACAAAGCCCATGGCGTCGTACTGCGCCACCATCTTGAAGAGTTCGTCGTCGGCGAAGCGCTCCGGGTCGCCGTCGGCGCCGCAGTGGTGGACCCAGCCGACGCCGCGCCTGTTCTCGTCCGTCGGCTTGTAGACCATGTCCGTGCGGTACCAGGGCTTCGCCTCGCCGCCCTTCTCCCGGCTCAGCGTGTAGGCGTCGTCGCCCGTCAGGGCGCGCAGCGCCCAGATGGGGAAGCCCCCCGCGAGGTTGTGGTAGCCGCCGACGAACTTCGCGAAGGCCTTTTCCAGGAGGAGGACCCACAGCTCCGAGCCCGCGGGCTTGCAGAAGATGGGGTCGTTCGTGCCCGCCTTGCAGGGGATGCGGTCGTCGACGACGAGCTTGATCCAGTGGCCCGTGGCGCCGTCGAAGAGCGTCACGACGTAGCGCCCGCGCCAGTTCGCCTCCGTCGTGAGGAACGCGCGGCGGATCGTCCCCGGGAACTCCGCGGCCGCCGCGAACGCCGCGAGCAGCCAGCAGTCGCCGAGCGTGCCCTGGTCGACGTCGTCGGGCGACACGCCGCCCTCGAAGAGCGACGCCCGCGCCGCGTCGCCGAAGATCTGCTGCGGCCGCTTCCACTCGACGACGACGTCGACGCCGTTCCGCTCCGAGTCGGAGAAGCCGCTCATGGGCCCGTCGACGCACTCGAAGAAGGGGTCGTGGTACCGCAGGTCGCACATGCATCCCAGGCGCGCCGCGCATCGCATCAAGCGCTCGTAGCAGGCGCGCTTCGGCGTCGCGAGGCACCGCGCGAGGTAGACCGCGAGGCACGGGAAGAGGAGCAGCTTCAGCGACATCCAGACCCAGAGCAGCGGCAGCAACACGCAGGCGATGCCGATGATGGCCCGGGGCGGGAGGCAGGGGCAGCCCTTCCGCAGCGCCTTGAGCAGCGCGCCGCGGCTGTAGATCATGGTCGACCCGCAAAAGCACGCGGCCCACGCCGCGCAGCACGCGCAAACTCCCCGCTTCTCCTCGCCCGGCGCCGCGCCGTCGGCCGGCGGCGGCCGCGTCTCCGGCCGCTTCGCCTCCGGCGCGCCGAGCGCCGACGACCGCCGCTCCGGCGTCGGCGACGGCGGCCGCGCGTCGTCGTCGCCGTCGAGCTCGTCGGCGATGAGGTCGTTGAACGCGTCCATGGCGAGCCGCAGGCCGCCGAACTCCAGATCGCCGGACCGCGCCCGGAGGAAGATGGCGACGAACTCCTCAAAGTCGAGCTTGCCGTCGCTGTCGGCGTCGACGGCCTCGATGAAGCCCGCGACCTCGGGCGCCGTCGGCGTCTCGCCCGTGACCTCGCTCATGAGCGTCTGCAGCTCCGACACGTCGATGTCGCCGGAGCCGTCCGCATCGTACTTGGCGAACTTCTCCTTGAGCCAGAGCGTCTCGCTGTCGTTCGACATGGTCTGGCTTCTCAGGGAGATGAGCCCATAGTTCAAACTTTCATCGGGTACATGTACATCGGGGCAGCGTATGCAACATCCGATGTTATACATAAACATCGACATGTTGATGCTCTCTCCCGGCGCAAGCTGTGGGGGCGCCTGGGCAGCCATCGGCGCGCGGGGGCAGCCAAAGCTGGGTTCCAACGCATCGATTCCTCTATTAGATGGCGCCGCAGCCGCCGCCTCCCGCGGGCGCGCAGCTGAACAAAGCAGTGATGTGGAATGATGAATGGCGCAGCGCCGTGGGCCCGAAGCCGAGACCGCTGTGGGTCTTGCCGCCAGGCTCCCACGACGGTCCAGCGGGCACCTACAAGGTCAAGTGGAGCGACCGTGGCGGCGGATACAGCCATAGCTTTGCTGATGAGGAGGAGGTGCGTGACGACGACGCGGTCGCGCGCGCCGCCGCCGCGCAGGACGTCGACGCCGGCGGACCGCCGGCAAACGCCCCGCCGCTGAATCAGGGCATGCGCCTCCTCCAGGCCGCGGGCTCGCGCATGGCCGTTGTCAAGAAGGAGCGGGACGCGGCGAAGGACGAGGCGGAAGACCAGGAGGAGCTCGCGGGGCAGCTCGTCCAATCGGAGAATGCGAAGATGTCGCAGATTGACGGGCTCAAGGCAGCGGTTTCGACCAAGGACACGCGCATCGGGGAGCTTGAAGCGTCGCTCCGGGCGAAGGACGTGACGATCAAGGAGCTGCGCGAGCGCGTGGCCGAGCTGGAGAAATCAGCGAAGAAGCGTAAAGCTCCAAAACCCAAGTCGGCAGCGAGGAAGAAAGAGCGAAACGCCACGGCACCCGTCGAGGCCGCGCGGGACTTGTCGCCAGAGCCGCCGCTAGCCGAGAGCAAACTGGTGGAATTCGACGGCGCTTTCCGGAGAAAAATCAGTGGCGCTGTGGTCCGAGCTTTGGAAAAGGTTCGGTCCGGGGAGTGGGCAGTGGAGCAAGGGCTCACGAGAGAAGGGAGAATTGCGTGGACCAAGCGCCTGGTATTGACACGTCTCACGTCTCTTGTGAAGAACGATGGAAAGGTCGAGGCTACGACTTGGAAAGACAATGTTAAGCTGTCCGGTTGGGACGCATGTGCCCACTTGATGAATCGTGAAGATGCAGCAGGACGAATACGCGAGGGTGTTGACTTCGCCCGTGGTGAATCGCTTTCCGGTCTCCGCTGCGAAACGGAGAGGAGTCAAACGGTCACGGCCGACTGGACCTGCGCATCGGGAGGAACGCTCCGGGTTACGCACACTTATGATGAGACGATGCAATGGCGATACGTGGGCAAGCCGGGCAATTCAAAATTACCCTCGCCATGGACATATACCTGGGAATGGGATCAAACTAATTACTGGAACGAGTTCCTGCCGTGGTTACTTCGCGCCAAATTCACGATCGAATATTTCCCGACTCCAGGATCTGTAGACGTGCTGCGAAACGTCGGCGAGGATAAACACGGAGACGGAGCCCTTCAGGTTGAGTGGATTACAAATATGGCCCTTGATGGAGTGGATCGCAACTATTCCAGCGGAGATTTCTACGGAAGTTTGACCAGGAGGGCACACGTAGCCGAAATGACAGCTCAGCTCGGAGCCGACGTCGATCAATTTTTGGGCGATTGTGTTGTGTTATCATGCGGGCTGTCGTGTGGCGTTGCGTCGGAAGGAGGGAAATGGTCAAAGCAGATTACCGAGGTCGCTATTATTCCTGGAATTGACAATTACCGAGGTCGCAATTCTGACGCATGGTCAATTATTACTGCGCTGTTACTCGACAAGCACGAGGACGGCGATCGCGAGTACGATTTTAGCGACATCTCCGTGGCCTCTGCCTTTGGAAAGGACTCCGGCGTTGGGTTCAAGACGCCCGATCTTTTACCAACCGCCGAAATGTCGGCTGCACTCCGGCGGGCCGAGGAGAAAATCGCAGTCGGACGAGAGCGCGAGTGTCCGTCGGACTCCGACGCCGTCGATTATTAGGGGAGTCTGTAAGTCCTAGCGAGACCTTAGGGAGCCTAGTGGTCCTCCGGCGGCGCCTCGTCGGCCGGCGGCGCCTCGGCGCCGTCGTCCACCGCCGCCTCGACGGCCGCCTCGACCGGCGCGTCGAGCTTCGCCCGGAGCGCGGCCTCGAGGCTCGCGAGCGCCGCCGCCGCGGGCGTCTGGGCCATGGGCCGCAGCAGCAGCTCCGGCAGGCGACCCTCGTATGCGGCCGTCGCGACGGCGTCGAGGTGCGCGAGGAAGGCGTGGTCCGGCACCGCGAGGGCCTTGGCGACGTTGCGGAGGTAGTTGACGTCGGCCTTGAGCTGGCGGAAGCCGTTCGCGTCGACGCGGCCGACGCGGAGGAGCTCCTCGGCCAGCGCACCGGCCGTGGCCTTGACGAGGCGGTGGAGCCACTCGGAGCAGAAGCGCGCGGCCGCGTCCGCGTCCTCGGGCGGCGCGGAGCTCTCCGCGAGCGCGTCGCCGCCGAGGTGCGCGCCCGCGAGTGGCTCGCCCGCCGCGAGGGCCCGCAGCCCGAGCCGGTCGGCGTCCAGCACGTCGCCGATGCGCTCCCACTCGCGCACGTCCGTCAGGCGGCCGCCCGCGTCGACGTGGACCGCGGCCGCATCCGCGACGGCCGGCGACTCGAGGAACGGCTCGAGGTGGCGGAGCGCGCCCATGAGGTGCTCGCCGACGACCGTCGCGTAGTCGCTCGGCGCCGGGTCCGCGTCGTCGTTTCCCGCCCAGACCGCGGCGCGGCAGTAGTAGGGCGCCGCCTTGTCCTTGAGCGCGTCGCCGCCGAGACGCGTCGCCGACACGCGGCGCAGCGCGGACCGCACGGGCGCGAAGGCGCACTCGAAGGCGAGCGCCGACGCCTCCGCCGCGAGGTCGTCGAGCGCGCGGTCCACGGCGACGCGGTCCAGCGGCGACGCCTCCGCGCGGCGCCGCCGCGCGTGCGCCGCCTTGGCCGGCGCGGCGACCGCGCGCCGCGCGAGCGGCGGCACGCGCGCGAGGCCCTCGTCCTCGGAAAAGGCCGCGTCGCGCCCGCGGCCCGCATCGGCCGCGACGTCGCTGCGCCAGAGCGCGAAGGTCCGGTTCGCGACCGCGAGCCACTCGCGCGACGCGCGCTCGGCCAGCCCGGCGAGCTCCAGCGCGACGAACGCGCGCCGCGCGTAGGCCCAGCAGTCCGCGAGGAGCGACGCGTCGCGCGGCAGGCCGTTCGCCTAAATGTCCGCATCTCCGAAACCGCGGCCGACCATCGATGGCGGAGCGGTCCTTGTGACGCGCGCGTCCGCTTTCGCCGCCGCGGACGGGGCCGGGGGAGGGAGAGGCTCTCCCCGGCGTTGGTCCCGGCGGCGTCTCTCTCAAAACGCAAAAACAAGGACGCGGCCGTCGCGCGAGGACGAGGTGGCCCCGGAGGTCGCCGAAGACCGCGGCGAGCGCGAGCGCGGCGTCGCGCGTCGCGTCGCGCACGGCCGCGGCGCAGCCCGCGCCGTCCAAGCCGCCCGTGAGCGCCGCGCAGCGGCCCAGGGCCGCCCGGCAGTCGTCCGCGAGCGCCGCGTCGAGCAGCTTCCGCGCGCGGTCGAGCGCGGCCTCGAACGCGGCCGCCGGGAGCAGGCCGTCGGCGGGGAGCGCGTCGAGCGCCGCGCGGCAGTCCGCGGCCCCGACGGCGACGGCCGCGGCGAAGCGCCGCCGCTCGAGGGCGCCGTAGCGCGTCGCGCCGTCGCTGCCCATCTCGCCGAAGCCCGCGAAGGGCGCGCCGCCGACGGCGAACGCGACGTCCCCGAGTAGGGGCGACTGCGCCGGCAGGCCCAGCGTTTGCTCCAAGTTTTCGAGGAAGACGCCGCAGGCCGCGTGGGCCGCCGCGCAGTCCTCGAGGCCGCCGGGCCCGCGGTCCGCGGCCGCGTCCAGCTTCCCGCGGAACGACTCCGCGAGCGGTTTGAGCGTCTCCGCGGCGACGAGCGCCGCGACGCCCGGCGCGTGCGCCTCCCCAAAGGCCGCGCCCGCCGCGGCCTTCTCCGCCTCGAGGTCCCGCAGCAGGTCGTCGAGGAACGCGCCGAGCCACGGCGCGAGGTCGAGGCCCGCGTCGTCGGCCGCGGTCCGCGCGAACCACCGCTTCCGCGCCGCGCCGGGCCTAGCGGCCGCGTAGTCGCGCCGCAACGCCTCCCCGAGGCCCAGGCGCTCGTAGAGCGCCACGAGCGGCCGCAGCGCCTCGCCGGAGACGTCCGGCGCGGCGAGCGCCGCGGCGACGCGCGGCCGCAGCGCGTGCTCGAAGTCGTCCCGCAAGCCGTCGAGGGTCGACCGCCGGTCGTCGGCGTCGGGCAGCTTGCGCAGGATGCGCTCGCTGTCGCCCATGGTCGCGAGCTGGGCCGCGACGTCGCCCGCGGCCGCGTCCCAGGGCTCGCGCGCCTCGGCGCCGCGGTTTAGGAACGCGTCGAGCGACGCCGCGGCGCGGCGCGCGGCGGCCTGCCAGGACGCGGCCTCGCGCAGCGTCGCGCCGACGGCCTCGAGGTGCGTCTTGAGGCGGTCGAGCTCGTCGAGCGTCCGCACCTCGCGGCCGCCGCGCGACGCGCCGTCGACGCGGCGCTGCACGGCCGCGAGCTCCTCGTCGACGGCCGCGAGCGCGCGCGACACGCTCCCGACGTCGCCGAGCGCGCGCGGCGCCGCCTCGATGAGCTCCTCCATGTGGCCCTCGAGCTCGTCGTTGAGGTCCGCGGCCATGATCTGCAGCTTCATGGACACGCTCGAGATCTTCGCGTCGACGCTCGCCCCGTCCGCCGACGCCTCGCTGAGCACGCCGTTCACCCAGGCCGTCACGTCCTGCTCCTCCTCGAGGTCCTCCATCGCTCTTTTTCGGTTGTGTGCGTGCGGTCTGTGTGCGGCGCCGTGCGGCCTGCGCGCGCCGCACCCTCCGCGGCGAGCGCCGTAATGTTTGCCCTTCAACGAGGCCTTCAACGAGCCCCGCGCCCAAGGAGCCTTAAAAGGAGCCCGCGCTCAACCCGCGCCCCGATGGACCGTCGCTCGCGGCGGCTTAAAAGGCCGCGGGGATGCGCCGGGACGCGCCCTCCGCGCCGCTTCCTACTCGAGGTAGTCCTGCGTCGTGATCGCGGTCTCGATGAACGCGCCGACCGCGTCGAGGTCGCCGCCGGCGAAGAGGGCCTCGAGCTCGCACTTGGAGCCGAGGTCGAGCTGGCGCCGGAGCTCGCGCTGCCAGGCGGGCTTCGTCGCGACCCAGGGGTGGGCGAGGAGGCCCTCCGCGCGGCGGCGGTCGCGGTCCGTGAGCGGCTGGCGGCAGCTCGCGGGGAGCTCGAGGCGGTCGACCTGGCTCGACCGCAGGCCGATCCACTTCACGTCCACCGTGTAGCGCACGGCCTCGAGGCCGAGGCGCGCGGAGCCGACCTTGTAGCAGAGGAGCACGCCGACGCCCCACGAGTTCCAGTCCACCAGGCCGTAGACGGGCACGTCGAGGGACCCGCGGAGCTTGTGGACGAGGGCGCGCGTCGCGATGTCGGGCACGCCCATGCCCGTGACGAGGACGCAGGGGTAGCGCTCGAAGAAGCGGTCCTCGACGAGGCGCCGGAAGATGCCGTCCTTCTCGACGACGACGACGCACCGCGCGTCCGACTCGACCTCGCGCGCCCCGTCGCTCATCCAGTCGTGCTGGATCATCTGCGTCGTCTCGAAGGCGCTCGTCCACGGGCCCCTGCGAGGGGCGCGAAAAATTTCGGTTCCGCGCCCGGAACCGACGGCCTCGCGCGGGACGCGGCCGCGCGCCCGGCCGTGCGCCACCGGAGCCGCCCCGCGCAGCAGCCCCGCGCGGACGTCGTGATGCCGAGCGCGAAGCGCGGGCAGTCGAAGATCGTCGCCGCGTCGGCCACGGACCTGCGCGCGAGCGGAATCGACGAGCGCTCGCGGACGCGGACGCGCGAGCGGTCGTCGCGATTCCACCGGTCCGGACGCGGCCGCGCGAGCGCTCGTCGCGATTCCGCCGGTCCGGACGCGGTCGTCGGACTCGTTGCACTCGCCCTGCGTGCGCCACGGCGAGTCCTCGCCGCCCTTGTGGAGGTAGTAGAGCTCGCGCTGCGTCGCGGACTTGCCGCTCTTGCGGAGCTCGAGGCAGAACGAGATCGCGCAGAGCAGGCCCGCGTAGCCGCGCTTGCCGGGGCCGTCCATCTTCTTGGCCACCTGCTTCGAGCCGAGGCCCACGGCGTCGCCGCCGTCGTCGCCCTCGGCGAGGAGGAGTTCGATGTTCGAGCTGTCCCGGCGCTTGCCTGCGTGGGCGCGTAGGTCATAGGTTCGTAGGCTCCGGACGAGGCTACGTAGGCGCGTAGGCACCTACGGAGCGACACTGGACGCCGTTTGTGCACAGTAGATGGTGGGCCAGCCGCCGCTCTTCTTCGCCCGCAGGAAGCCGGCCACCCAGGCTTCGATCGTTGCCACGGGCACCATCGTCGGCGGCGCGCGCTTCGGCGCCGCGTTCGGCGCGTTGGATGGTGCCATAACGTTGGAGGCGTCGTGCAATGGGTCGCCTTCGTTCGGTCGAGCCATCGTGCTTCGCATGCTTCGCCGAAGAATTACCACAGGAAGGCAGCTCGCGCGCGCGCCGCCGCCGCCGCCGCCACGCCGCGCCGCGCCGCCCACCGCGCCGCCCGCTCGACGTCGCCGCCCGCTCGCCGCGCCGCCCACCGCTCGCCCGCCGCCGCGCCGCCGCCACCCACGAGGATGTCGTGCTTCAGCGCGCGCCTCGACAGCGCGGCGCTCGTGACGTCGCTCATCGAGTGCCTCATCGAAGAGAAGCGGAGCGAGGTCGTGGCGCACATCGCCATCGACGCCGCGGGCCTCGAGCTTCACGTCGTTGGTCGTTCAAAGTCCACGCACGCGACGCTGACGCTGCCCGTGTCGTGCTTCGCGGCCTTCGACTGCGTCGACGAGACCGGCGCGCCGTTCGTGCGCGGCGGCGACCAGGAGCCGATTGCGTTCTCCGTCGACGTGCGCGCGCTCGTCGAGTGCCTCAAGCTCTTCGGCGCGGCCGGCGCGGACCTCGAGGTGAGCCTGAGCTACGCGCCGGCGACGGAGGTCTTCAAGCTGACGCTCGAGGAGCCCGGCGCGTTCACGTCCTGCGACGTGCACGTGCTCGAGGACTCGAACGACCTCGAGGGCGCGACGGACATGGCGGGCGCGTTCCGCGACGCGCCGACGGCGGCCAAGACGCTCGCGACGTCGGCGACGCTCCGCGACGTCGTCGCCGACTTCGACGAGTCCGCCGTGGGCTCGTCGACGATCAAGGTCTCCGTGTCGCGGCGGGCGCCGCACTTCCCAGGGCAGGAAAAGAGAGCGAAATTCCCAACTTCAAAGGCTCCGATCTCGGTCGTTTTCCACTCGTTTCGGCTGATTTTTGGACGAGCGATCATCTCTCGGAATGGTCTCGAAGCATGGATGCTTTTTCCGGAACGCGCGCGCGCGGAACACTCATGTTGAAGAGAACTTGAATCACCCTTTTCCTGCCCAGGCACTTCCGCCTCGCCGCGTCCGGCTCCGTGGGCTGCGTCCAGATCGACGTGCCCCGCGACGCCTTCGTCGTCTTCGAGGCGCCGGAGGAGACGCGCAGCTGGACCTACCAGACCCAGGCCTTCCTCCACGGCATGAAGGCGCTCCCGCACTCGCACGAGACCTACGTCCGCGTCAACGACCACGGCATGCTGCTCGTGCAGCACATGGTCGCCAACGACCGCGGCGCGGGCGACAACATGTACCTCGAGTACCTCTGCTGCTCCGACACGGACGACCACCTCCCCGACGCGCCGCCGCCGGGCGAGCGGCCCGCGGACGCGTCCCAGGCCGCCGCGACCTTCGCCACGATGGCGTCGCCGGCCTTCTGATGGTTTCGGGAGGGTCGTGTTGTAAGTTGTGTTTCGCTTCGAATTTTCTCTCTTTTGCGCCTCGCTTGTGTGGCGGCGCACCGGCCGCCCTCTCGGCCGCCCTTCAACACAGAACAGAGCCGTGCACAGTGGTCAATGAAGCCAGACGCTTTGGCCGAATCCAAACTCGGAGCGAGCGCGCCAATCGCTGTGGCGCCGTCGATTTGACCGCCTCCCAACGACGTGCTGCGCCGCAGGCCTCGGACACCGTCGTCGAGCCCTACAACGCGACCCTCACGGCACCAGCTCGTGAAAACGGGACCAGTGCTTCTCCCTCTAAAAACGAGGCGTTGTACGACATCTGCTTCCGCTCGTGTCCGCAGCCTCAGGCAGCATGCTCAGTCTCCAGTGGTGTCCCGGGACAACCCGCGAGAACGTCAGCCCGGTCAAAAAGAAGCGCACGGGCACGCCGAGCCCGTCCATCAGCCCATCCCCAAATATCCTCGCGCCGCCGCCCGCTTCCGCGCCGCCCGCCGCTTCCGCGCCGCCGGCCGCGCCCACGCCCACGTCCCCGCCCGCGTCGCCGGCCGCGCCGAAGAGCGCGTCGAGCGACGGGGAGACCTGGTTCTTCAACTGCCGCTGCGGCGAGAAGGGCTGGGGCCTCGACGACGGGACCGCGCAGTGGCAGTGCGAGAAGTGCCACTCGTGGCAGCACGAGCGGTGCGTGTCCATCGGCGGCGGCGGCGTGCCGTCGCCCTACCTCTGCCACGAGTGCGCGCCCGTCGCGGCGCCCAAGTGCGTCCTCGCGCGGGCGGCCGCGCGGCCGCTCGAGCCCGAGAAGTCGCAGTACGAGATCGAGCGCGACGAGCGCATCAAGCGGAACGCGGACTTCCTCGCGAGCCTGGGCCTCGGCGGCGGCCTCGCGCCCACGGAGGAGAAGAAGAAGGTCAAGAAGCCCGCGGTGAAGAAGCGCAAGGCCGAGCCGCGCGAGCCCGCGCGGAAGAGCTCGCGCGTCCGCGGCGAGGCGGCCAAGGACTACGTCGCCGAGGACGGCGGCGGCGACGACGGCGGCGAGGCGGCGGCCTGGACGCCCCGCGCGGCGCGCGCGCCCCGGGGCAAGCGCCTGCCCGCCGCGGCCGTCGCGGAGCTCGAGCGCCAGTGCGGCGAGGTCCGGTCGCTGACCGCGGCGGAGCGCGCGGCGGCCGGCGTCGCGCGCGCGGGCCTGGCGGAGTACGGCAACGCCGCGGGCCGCGCGCGCGCGTACCTCGCCACCGTCGAGGGCCTGCGGCGGCCCCGGTGGCTCGAGACGCTCGAGGCGTCGTCGATCCTCGCGGGCAAGTCGCAGTCGAACCGCGACAAGGTCATGGTCGTGCTCGAGAAGTGCGCCGCGGGCCTCGGCGTCGGCGCCGTCGCCTGGCCCCAGCCCTTCCTCTGCGACGCGGAGCTGCCGATGACGCTCGGCGCCGACGTCGAGATGCTCAAGTACTGCGGCAAGCGATTGGAGTGCGCGCACGGCGCGGACATCTCCAACGGCTGGGCCTACAGCCACGCCTTCGGCAAGCTCAAGGCCTACCAGACGGCGCTCCTCGGCGAGGCGGCCTTCGACGCGCCGCCGCTGTCGGAGCTCGACGACGACGCCGTCGAGGCGCTCGTGCCGGACCACATCAAGACCGTCTGCGCCGCGCGGCCCGTGACGCCCGAGCCCGCGCCGGCGCCGGAGGGCAGCGGCGCCGCGGCGCCCGCGGCGCCCGAGGCCGAGGCCGCGCCCGCGGCGCCCGAGCCGGAGCCCGCGGCCGCGCCCGAGTCCGAGCGCGCCGCGACGCCCGAGTCCGAGCGCGCCGCGACGCCGCCGCCGGAGCCCATGGACCTCGACGGCGGGACGCCCGTCGACCGGCTCAAAGCCATGGAGGAGCGCATCCTCGAGGAGCGCCGCGCCCGCGAGGCGCCCGCGGACGCGCCGCTCCCGGAGCCGGAGGCGCCGCCCGCGGAGGCGCCGCCCGCGGCGCCCGCCGCGGCGGAGGCGCCCGTCGTCGCCGAGGCGCCCGTCGTCGCCGAGGCGCCCGCGCCGGCCGAGGCCGCCGCGCCGGCCGCCGAGAAAAAGCAGACGGACCTCCGCTCCTTCTTCGCGCCCAAGCCCAAGAAGCAGCCGGAGCCGAAGAAGCAGCAGACCCTCGACTCGTTCTTCAAGAAAGCCTAGAGAACCCCACCCATGTAATCGCAAACCAAGTATATCGTGAAATTCTGCACTTCAACGCCACATGGTGCAGTGGTTGTTGCACTTGGCAGAGCTCGTTCGAGCATGAAGCTCTTGCAAGCTTGTCTGCTCCTGGCAGCGCCAACAACGCCGCTGCTCATGCTCTCGCAGGCGCCCACGCCTCTGCTCTTGGTGGACCTCGATGCTCTGCTCGCCGTGGACCTCGAAAGCATCGGAGCCATGAGTTGTGCGGAGCGCGCGGACGTCCTGAGCGACGCGCTGTTCGTCCACGCGCGGGTGACGTCGACGCGCGACGCGACGACGAGCTTCCACAAGAGCACGGCCGCGGCGCTCGCGACGCTCGACTGCCCGCTGCCGCGCGGCGGCGCCTACCTCTGCATGGGCCTGCAGACGCAGCCCGACGCCGACTACTTCTGGGCCCGCGCCACGGGCCCCGGCGCGCGGCGCGCGGCGCCGGGCATCGGCCTCGCGGCCGGCGACGGCTCCGTCGATCTGCGCTGGCTCTCGGACGCCGAGGCCGCGGCGCGCGGCGACCAGCCCCAGACGGGCGACGGCAAGTGGTCCGAGTGGGTCGAGTACCTCGCCGTCGGCGACGAGGTCGACCTCGTGCCCCGCGACGTCGCCGGCGCTCTCGAGGCCTTCGGCGGCGCGGTGCGCGGCGTCACGCGGCGCGAGCGGCCGCCGGGCGCGCAGCCGCTGCTCAAGGGCGCGTGGACGTGGACCTAGGACCACCTTTAAACGCGCGACCCGAGGAGCTTGGCGACGTCGGGGCCCATGGCCGAGGGCTTGCCGACGAGGGCCGGCGACGAGAGGACGGCGAAGCCCGCGGCGACGCCGCCCTCGTCGACGCCGAGGAGCTTCTGGCGGAGGAGGTGGCCGACGACCTCGTTGTGGAGCTCGACGGGCGCGCCGCCGCCGTCCGCGGGCCGCGCGAGGATCGTGCCGTAGACGCCGAGCTCGCAGACGCAGTCGCCCTCGACGGGCGCGCCGTCGCGGACGAGCGTCGCGCGGCGCTGGGGCGGGTTGATGCGGTCCATGAGGATGAAGGCCGCGCGGTCCGATGGCGACAGCGTCTCGAGCGCGTCCTTGAGCTCGGCGCCGTAGAGGTTGTTGCCGCCGCCCTCGCGCTGGGGCTTGAGCACGTACTTGTCCGGGCGCGCGAGCGCCTCGGCGACGACGGCCTCGACGGCGCCCGCGTCGTCCGCGACGTCGAGGTCGTACAAGCCCGCGAAGACGGTCCGCAGCTCCGCGGCCTCGGCGGCCGGCAGGAACTTCTCGAGCTCGCCGGGCGCCGCCAGGGCCTGCTGGACCTTCTTGCAGCCCGCGAGCTGGTAGGCCGCGGTCGGGCACTTGATCGCGCGCGAGTTCTCCAAGAGCGCGCGCGCGGCCCACTCGCCGTCGCCGAGGTACTCGTCCGGCGAGTAGCCCGCGCGGAAGTAGGCGACGCTCAGCTCCCAGGCGCCGCCGCGGAACGTGAGCGCGCCCGACGCGTCGGCGACGCCGTCCTCCAACGCCTCGAGGAGCGTCACGCGTTCCATCGCGACGCCGTGCGCGTCCCAGAGCTCGTGCTCGAGCATGCGCTGGTCCATCTGGTTCCGCTCGCCGGGCTGGACGACGACGGCGACGCGCCGCGGCGGCGCCCCGGCGGCCGGCGGGTACTGGCGCTCGTACTCGGCGTGCGCCGCGGCGATGCCTCTCGCCAACCCGGCGGTCGCGCCGTTCTTCGGCAGCGGCAGCCACGCGTCGTCGACGCCGCCCGCGTACTTGGCGGCGACGTAGGCGTGGAGCGAGCTGAGCACGGTGCTCAGGCACCCGAAGGAGCTCGCGATCGTGTTCAGCTCGACCTGGAGCGCCTTGCCGTTTTCGAAGGGCGCGTCGCCGGAGCCGGGGCCCGCGTCGATCATGTAGTCGCTCCGCAGCAGGCCGAGGCTCGCGGTCTGCGCGCTCGTCTGCGACCGCCGCAGCTCCAGGAGCCGGCGCGTGAAGGCGTCCGACGCCGCCGTCTGCTCCAGCGTCGCCTCGAGCCAGGCCGCGTCCCGCGCGACGCGCTCGACCAGGCGGTTGAACGCCGGTTGCATCGCGACGAGCCGCTCGTACTCGCTCCGGGGGAAGGGGAAGGGGAAGAGCGCGAAGGGCGCGTGCGTGAAGCTCAGGGACGGCGCCTCGCCCGCCGCGACGGGCGCCGCGTAGCTCGCGCCGTGGGCCACGCACCACGCCACGGCGTCGCCGACGACGCGCTCCTGGGGCTCCTCGACGGCGCTCAGGCGGCCGCCGCGCCGCCGGTCCTGCATGGCCAGCAGGCCCGCGAGGTAGTTGAGGGTTTGCATCATGAATGTGTGGGCGTGTGTGCGGGCTTGCGTGCGATGGACGGCGTGAGTGGCGGCTCTCGACGCAACACACGCTGCGATGGTGCCGCAACAGTGCAGCTCCACAAGGCCGCCTCACGCATCGTCAGCGCCGCTCTCGTCCGTCGCAGCTCGACATCTCGCAATCACAGCCACGTGCAAAGATGATGCAAGCATTGCAAGCAGTGCGTCGCACCTCCACGCGCCGCTGCCTCAGCGCCAAGCCCGCCGTGGGCCACAGCGGCCACCTGAGCGCCGACTCGCTCAAGAACCAGCACGACGCGCCGGACCTGGGCCTCGCCATGAGCCACAAGCACAAGTACCTCTTCGACCTCAACGGGTATTTGGTGCTGCGCGGCGTCTTCTCGCCCGACGACGTCGCCGCGGCGAACGCGGCCGTCGACGCGCACGCGGACACGTACCACGAGCGCACGGGCCAGCTGCGCACGAGCGGCCTCTACGGCCGCGAGTCGCACGCGCTCGCCGGCGACGGCGCGCGGGGCCGGCTGGACATGGGCGGGCTCCTGGCCTGGGACGCGCCGCACAACGCGGTGTTCCGGTCGATGCTGAACCACCCGGCGCTCGTGCCGGCGATGACGGAGCTCATGGGCGTGGGCTACCGCTTGGACCATTCGCCGCTCCTGCTGGGCATGGAGAAGGGCTCGGAGGGCCACACGCTCCACGGCGGCGCCATCACGGAGGCCGGCGAGCCCGCGTGGCCCTTGCGCTACGAATGCGTCGGCGGCCAGATGCGGAACCAGCTCCTCACGGCGTGCCTCCAGCTCACGGACGCGCCGGCGGGCGCCGGCGGCTTCTGCGCCGTGCCGGGCAGCCACAAGGCCAACTTCTCCATCCCGCCCGCGCTCGCGGACCTCGCGGACGACGAGCTCGCGGAGCACGTCGTCCAGCCGGCCATCATGGCCGGCGACGTGCTCCTCTTCAGCGAGGCGACGCTCCACGGCACGCTGCCCTGGACGCTGGACCACCAGCGCCGCACGGTCATCTACCGCTTCGCGCCCGCGGGCTCCGCGTACGGCCGCGGCTACGCGCCCGAGTGGCCCGCGGCCATGCTCGCGGGCATGAGCGAGGCGCAACGCGCGGTCTGCGCGCCGCCCTACCACCCGCGCATGAACCGGACCTGCCTCGACGAGGAAGGGAGCGCCGTGGCGCCCAAGCCCCGCGAGGCGTGGAAGGTCGAGTTCGACGAGAAGGTCTTCGGCAGCCGCTACTTCTAGGCGTAAAAATTAGACGTCGGGGTCGATCTTCCTTTTTCGATCGATCTTCCCCGATCCGTGATGCCGATCGCTCTTCGCGACGGACGGCGCGGCGTCGGGCCAGGCGTTGGGGCAGGACGCGGCGTCGAAGACGCGGCCCGGGTCCGTCTCGCGGAGGTGCGGCAGGAGGCAGGGCGCCTCCGCGGCGAGCCAGGCCTCGATGGCGCCGTAGTTGGGCACGAAGCTCTGCAGGTCGTCGGACGTCGCCTTCTCGTAGACGTCCGCGCGCCGCGGCGGCCGCGCGTCGGGCGGCACGCCGAGGAAGTCGAAGAGCCCCGCGAGCGCGCGGTCCCGGTCCTCGAGAAAGTGCTCGTAGGCGACCATGCGCACGGAGACGTTGCGCGCGCGCAGCGTGTCGACGACGCCGAGCATGGCCGCCTCCCAGTGCCAGTTGACGAGGAGCGCGTCCTTGATCTCGCCGACGTCGACGGGCAGCGTCGCGTTGAGCTTGCAGTGGCCTAAAAGTCGGCGGGTCCCCGGGCGAAACCATATGGCGCCGCCACGCACCCGTGGACCAGTCGGCGCGCGCGTCGCGCTTCTTCGGCGCCCGCTCGGCGCCCTCCTTGGCGCGCTTGTTGTCGCCCACGCGGATGTTGTTGTAGCCGCAGACCGCGTCCAACAGTTTCCCGCGGACGCGGCTCACGGCGGCCTTGACGCGGTTCGTCCGCAGGTAGGCGACGACCCGGACGTCCGGCGCCGACGCGGCGACGGCGGCGTAGTCGATGCCCGGCTTGCGGTTGACGTTGAGCGTGAAGCCGACGCACGCGAGGCACGGCTTCTCGGGCTTGGACCGCGCGCAGAGCCGCTCCGGCGAGCCCGCGCGCGCCGCGAGGCGCGCCGCGGCCTTGACGGAGCCGACCTTGCCCACGGGCTCCACGAGCGCGAGCTTGAGGTGCGCCTCGCAGGCCGCGACGTCGTGCTGGCGGCTCCGCTTGCCCGTGATGATCTCTTCCGCGATGTGCACGAGCGGCGCCTGGAGCAGGTCCGTGACCCACGACGACCCGCTCCGCGGCAGCTTGAAGAACCTGGCGCGACGCGGTGGGCGGCGCGGCGCGACAAAAAAGGGCGCGGCGCGGCGCGCATGACGCGCGACGGCGTCCGCCGCCGGGAGACCGCCGTCCGCCGCGGCTTGTCGCCGCCGTGGTGCTTCGACGACCCGAGCCGCCGCGCCTCGTCGTGGGCGTCGACGCCCAGCGCGCACGACGACGCGACGAGGAGCGTCGCGAGCACGGCGCGACGCGCGTCCATCGCGATCGTAGGCTGCGTATATCTACACAGCAACCAGATTGATTGATAAAAGCAAATTTGCCACTAAATTTAGTGGCAAAAGTAAGGTCCATACTATGGAGGCCTGCCTTTGCTAGCTTTACAACCCCGATGTCCGCCTACGTTCCGCCGCACAAGCGCTCGGCCGCAGCAACCGCCGCGCCGACGCACGCAGATCGCAGCAACGACGCGCGGCGCCTCGAGCGCCGCGTGCAGGAGTCCTCCACCAAAAGCGCCGCGTCGGAGATCTTCACGGGCGGCGTCGCCGTCGTGAACCTGCGGCGCCGCCCGGACCGCCTGCGGCGCTTCGCGGCCTCCGCCGCGCGCGCGCTGGGCTCCCGCGCGTGGAGCCGCTTCGAGGCCGTCGACGGCGCGGCGGCCGACGCGCGCGCCGACGGCGCCTTCGAGGCGCGGTGGGACGCGACGCAGAACGCGACGCACGACCGGCACATCCGGCCCGGGCCGCGGCGCGCGACGGACGGCGAGCGCGGCTGCGCGCTGTCGCACGTCGCGCTCTGGCGGCGCGTCGCGGCGCTGGACGACGCCGCGTGGTTCCTCGTCTGCGAGGACGACTGCGCCTTCCGCGACTTCTTCGACGACGAGCTCCGGCGCGCCTGGCCGCTGCTCCCGCCGGGCGCGGGCCTGGTCTACCTGGGCCTCTCGGACCGCGGCGAGCGGACCTACGACGTCGCCGGCCGCGTCTTCGCGCCGGCCTACGGCTTCGGGACGCACTGCTACGCGATCCGCGCGCCCGCGGCGCGGCGGCTCCTGGAGCATTTGCCCGTCGCGGGGCCCGTCGACGTCTGGCTCGCGGACAACGCCTGGTTCGGCGCGACGGTGCGCTGCGTCGTCAAGCCGGGCGGCGGCTGGGAGAACACGGGCCGCTTCCTCTGCCAGCAGGACGCGAAGCCGGGCGACGCGGACGTCCGCCAGTCGTCGCGGGACGCGCCGCTCGCGGGCGACGTCGCGCCGCCCGCGAGCGTCGACGACGTCGCCGCGGCGCTCTCCGGCCTCGGCGTCGACGACGCGAGTGACGAGTGGGCGGGGGTAAGTCGCTGTTAGACCCTCGTTCGGTTCAAGCGCGGGAGGCGGCCGTCGAGGCGGTGTGAGGCGGGACGGCGGCGTCGGGGGGAGCGGCCGTCGAGGCGGTGTGAGGCGGGACGGCGGGGGGGAGGGCTTGCTCATTCGGCGCGGCCGGCCCGGGCGACTCGAGTCGCGCGGCGCGGGGCGGCCCGAGCACCGTTTAGTTCATGAGTTCCTCTTCGGGGCTCTTCTTCTCGTCGTCGGCGACCTGGATGGCGTCGAGCTCGAGGTCCTTGGCCGGGAGGAGCGCGTCGTCGTCGCCGTCGAGGCGCGGCACGATGATGAAGGGCTGCTTCGCCTTGTCGCCGCCGACGTAGACGTCGACGTAGGAGAAGATGACCGTCGCCGCGGCGGAGACGAGGGGCACGACGATGAAGGTGACCATGAGCTTCGTGCCGCAGAGCGCGCACTCGTAGGGGCTGCCGTCGGACTTGGAATTGATGCCCCAGAAATACGCGAACGCGGACTTGTCGTAGACCTTGCCCGTGTAGGGGTTCACGGCCTTGTTGACGTCGTTGATCTCACCGTTGACCATCACCGCGGCGATGCCCGCCAAGGCGCCGAGGAACGCGCCGAGCTCCGTCGGCGCCGGGATCGTCAGCGGGCCCACGACCAAATCGTCCGTCCACAGGCCCAGGAAGAGCGGGAAGACGGCCGTCGCGCACACCAAATCCGCCACGAGGAACAGGGGCACGACCTCGAAGCGGTCCGACGCCTGGATGATCGCGGCGATGTTGAAGCCGACGACGACGAGGCGCGACCAGTTCGTGTTGAGCTTCTGCTTGAGCAGGTCGCGGCTTAAGACGGAGGCGATGCCGTTCTGGAGCGTGTCCAACGACGACGCCGCGAGCGTCGTCAGGAGCGCCAGGGTCACGTAGTGCCAGAAGCGCGGCAGGTTCCGCAGGAGGTCGAAGAAGGAGAGGTAGGCGAGTTTCTGCCACGTGTCGTACGACTCGCGGTCGCGCGCGTACGCGATGGTGCCCATGACGCCGAAGAACAACATGACGAGCGTCACGAGGACGGCGCCGGCGAGGAAGCCGATCTTCATGTCCTTGTCGGACCGCGCGGCCCAGACGCGCTGCCAGTTGCCTTGGTTGAAGAGCTCCGCCGAACAGATCGCGATCCACAGGGTCACGAGGGCTTCGAAGCCTTTGGAAAACCAGCCCGTGGCGTCATCGTACTCCTGCTTCGACACCTCGTTGGACTTCAGGGTGGTCGTGGCGACGAGGAGCATGATGACGACGCACGTGATGACGACGCCCTGGAACTTGTCCGTGAGGATCGACGCCGGCAGCCCCGCGAGGGCCGTGTAGGCCCAGGTGAAGAGCGCCACGCAGATGGCGATCTTCGTCGTGAAGTTCTCGGAGTCGTCGCCGGCGACGGACTTGCCGACCAACGTGGCGTAGACGTTGCCGATGGACGTCAATTCCGCGACCATGTAGATGTACATGTAGAAGCAGCTGATGCAGCAGACGTGGAGGTGCATGAGGCGGCCGTAGCGGCTCAGGGCGAAGTCCGTCGCCGAGAAGCCGGACGCGGCGCCGACGACGGTCTTGATGCGCGGGCCGAGCCAGCAGAGGAGCACCGCGGGGAACGCGGACGCCGTCGAGTAGCCGATGACGCCCCACCACGAGATGGGCCGCGTCGCGCCCATCTCCGTCGTGCCGTAGACGATCCAGGCGCCCATGCCGGACGCGAAGAAGCTCAGCGCGATGGAGTACCAGGCGCTCTGGCCGCGCGCGCTCAGGAAGCCGTCGCCGGGCCGGAGCACGTCCTTGAACGTCGACCCCTTGTCGAGGACGATGCCCGCGACGCAGAGCAGGCCCGTGAGACAGAGCACGCCGAAGAGGATGCCCATGGCGCCGCCCTCGGGCACCGTGTAGGGCTGAGCCTCCTGGAGCAGACGTCCCGACATGGTTGAGTGTGTAGGTGAACTTCGGACCTCCCCGACGCCTCAATTACGAGGATCCGGGTCTTGACGCTGCTTCTCAGAGCTCCGAAAAGAGCCCGCGCGTGGTCCGGGAGCTGGTGCTAGCTGACAAGCGCCGTCGTCCTCGTGCAGAGGACAGCGGACGAGGTTGCGGTGGCAGCGGACGAGGATGCAGGCTTGCTCGCCGACGTCGTTTTGTCAGCTTCAAGCAATCGATCCTCAAGGTGAAGGCACCACCAACCCGAAGGCCCTGCCGTGATCGCCTCGGACGTCGCTTCCCACTCCGCCCACACCCTCGAATTCCCGTTTTACCGCTCGTCGACGGAGAGGGCCGGGCGCGGCCCCGCGACGTCGGCGCGCCGCCGCGACTGCGCGTAGGGCGACGGGCTCGACGCGGTCCGGCGCGCGGCGGGCGGCGGCGGCGGCGCGCGGGCCGCGGGCGACGCCGGCGGGTTGCGCCGCGGCGAGAAGGGGGGCGCCGGGGGCGCGGCGCCGTCGCCGGCGCGGTCGACGCGCGCGCGGGGCTCGCGGTCGAGGCGCCGCTCGCGGTCCGCGTAGCGGCGCTCGTCGGACGCGACGCAGTGCTTCGCGAGGGCGCAGAGCCAGTCGAGGTTGACGACGAGCTCGCGCACCGTCGTGAGCTCGCGCTTCTCGTCGGCCGTCATGTTGTCGTAGGCCACGGCCAGGTTCCGCAGGTGCGTCAGGATCAGCGCGAGCTCGTGCGGCTGGACGGTCGCGAAGGACGCGTCGCCGTGGAACGGCTCCCAGTGGCGGCCCGAGCGCTGGTTCGACCGCGTCACGCGGACGACGACCTCCTTGACCTTGAGGTGCGCGTGCTTGAAGAGCTTCGCGCGCGCGACGCCGTCGTCCGCGCGGTCGAGCGCCTTCAGGAGCTTCGACGACTCCCGGCGGTGGAGGCTCACGGCGTGGCCCTTCAGATATTCCATGGTCGTCTTCAACGCCGCGAAGGCCGCGGCGCTGTAGGCCACGGTGCCCTCGGACGCCTCCGCGAGCTTCGCTAAAGCAGCTGAAGACGCGTGCTCGTCCGGCAGGCCCGGGCTCTGCGGCGGCGGCGCCTCCGCGGCCTCCGCCAGCGCATCGTCCCGCGACTTCGCGATGGCCTCCTCGGCCTGGGACTGCATCAACCGCAGCGCCTCGCCGTGCTTCGCGCCGAGCCGCGCGGCCGCCGCCTCGATCGCCGCGCGTTTCTCCGCGCGGTGGCCGTCCGCGAGCTCCTGGAGCGCCGCGAGGCCCGCCGTGCGCTCCTCCGTGCGCACGGAGTCCGTCGCCGCGGCGAGCGCCGCCGCCGCCGCGCGCCGCTCCTCCGCGATGGCCGCGTCGACGGCCGTGCTCACGGCCGCCGCGACGACCTTCGACGTCACCGCGGCGTCGCGCTCCGCCAGAGCGTCGCGCACGGCGGCGTCGCGGGCCTTCGCGCCGTCGAGGGACGCGTCGAGGAAGCCCCGGGCCGCCGCCGCCGCGACGGCCGCGTCGCGGTCCTCGCGCGCGAGCGCGTCGCGCCGCTCGGCGACGCGCGCGAGCGCCGCGCGCTCGCGCGCCTCGGCCTCCTCGGCCTCGGCGAGGGCCTCCTCCTCGGCGAGGAGCGCGCC